TGTGAGAAGGCAGCTGTTTGTAAACCAGGAAAAGCCCTCATTGAAAACAGAACCTTGCTTGAACCTTACTCTTGAATTTTCAAGAAAATCAGTTTATGATATGTTAAGCCTTCCAGTATATGGGATTTTGTTATGGCAGCCCAAAGTAGATAGAAACCAAGCAATGTTTCATTTCTAACATCTTTTAGCTCCTTTCTATATCCTTGTATTGTTTMTACCCACTTCCCACATTCCATCTTGCCCCCTCTCTCCTGTCCCAATACTATTCATGAGAACTCCCCTGCTCCTGCTAAGCAGGTAGATAGACAGGAGGCCCCTTTGGAAAGCCCAAACAAAGAATCCCACCCCCATTAGCCTCAAGCCTGCCTCATGAATGCTGCTGTCTTTGCATATGTCATAAAAAGTATAATGAGGAAAATGCCTCTTGTCCATTTGACTATGTAACAGGATTTCTCAGTCTTGACTCTGTTGTTTTGGATCAGATGATAAGTAACAGAGTAACAAAAATGTTGATCCCAAGGTTCTGTCTTCCCATTCTAACATCCTCCTCCTTCCCCACTGATTAAATATTCAGTCATTAGTAGGAAAGGAAACCTGAAATTACAGTAAGGTTTACCTTACTTGTTTTTTTGGTTGGAGGTGGGGGTTGGGGATTGAACCTAGAGGTGTTTTACCGCTGAACTACATCTTTAGTCCCTGTGTGTGTGTGTGTGTGTGTGTGTGTGTGTGTTCCTCAGGATTGAACCCAGGACCTTGTGTATATGAGGCAAGCACTCTACCAACTGAGCAGTATCCCCAGCCCCCCAGTCCCTTTTTGTTTTTAATTTTGAGCCACAGTCTTACTCAGCTGCTGAAGGTCTTGCTAAATTGCTGAGGCTGACCTCAAATGCATGATTCTCCTGCTTCAGCCTCCTGAGTCTCTGATTACAGGCATGTGCCACCATGCCCAGCCTGGATTTTCCTTACTTTCTACCAAAAGCCACGAACTGTGCTTTTCAGTAGAGGATGTTTAGCAGTACCTTTGACCTCCCCACTAGATGCCAATCGCACTCCTAATGGTGACAACCAAAAATGTCTGCAGTTATTGTCAAAATGTCCTGTAAGGAGTAAAAAATCTGCTTGAGAACCACTGGTGTAGGAGAAAAATCTCCAGATTGAATAGGAGTAGATACCTTAACGTTTTTTTTTTTGTTGTTGTTGTTGTTGTTTTGTTTCTTTTCTGGTGGTGTTTTTTTGTGTTTTTTGCCTAACCTGCCATTATTCATTTATTAATTAAGCACTTTTCATGTGTTAGGTGCTTTATATACATTCTCTCTCTTAATTCTTAGAGTATCCCTTTGAAGTAGACAGTATTATTCACTTAGCAGATGAAAAATCTAACTGAAAGGCTGCCTTGCTTGGCCAGGAAGTGGGGAGTTGGGACCGAAACCATCTTTTCTCTTCTGAAACCTGAGCCCTTCCCACTATGCTGATCCTGGACGTATTTGGGCATCACTTTTGTGCTTTGCCCTCTTTAAGGAGAAGCCTAGAAATGTGTATTATTTCTTTCTGTCCATTGTCCTTATAAATACTCTTAGCCAAAGACATTGCTATATTCTTCCAGGCTCAGGGAGCTGAAGGAAATGTAGACCCAACCTATTATGGAGAAATTTGTCCTGAGATGACTAAGGAAGCATTCTCAAAATAGCTTTAAGTGAGGATTATGTTAACTTGTCTCTTGTCATCTGTTGGTATTTTTCCCATTTTATTTTAGTATGCCTGTAATTTTGTCTATAGCTCAGAATTGTCAAGAAGTGGGTGATTTTTGCCATGCTTGTTTTGGTTTTAGTGATAAAAAGAAGCAACTACCAGTACTTACATTGTTTGGTATGCAGAAATGGCTCAGATGTGTGAAATGAATTTTTAAAAATAGCATTTAACTATTTTCAGAGTATTTTTCTACATCTATTAATGCCCTAACCTTTTAGGAAGTAAGTATTGAAGCATTTTTAATTCCATTTTACAAATGAGGCTCCTAGAGGTTATTTGATTTGTCCAAAGCTAGTGTCTGTTAAGGTGGTGAAGCTGGAACTAGAACCTACATCTTTCATACTTCCTTTAGTTGCAGGCTGTTCAGGCCTCACCCAGCAGATCTGTAACAAGCAAGAGAGCTGACCATGCTTTATTTTCCCTGCCTCCTCCTGCCTCCTGTTAGTGTAGATACTGTGGAGCCTGGTGAAAGCCAAATGTCAGGCATGAAAAAAAAAAATAGGAAGTCCTACTTGTCTTCTGAAGAAGTGAAGAAAGTATCAGGAAGGGGAATAAATACCTACTAGAAAGAATGGAAACAACTCATTTACTCTATTTTGGTTATTACAGTAGAAAGTAAGGTAAATCCTACTGCAGGAGGAGGATATTAGAATCAAAAGAAGGGGGACCCTGAGATCAATATTTTTGTAACCTCCTGGGCAGTAGAGACAGAAGAAAGATTTGTACCACGGTCACTTTTTTTAAAAAGAGAAGGAGGAGGAGGAGTGGAGGCTAAACATATAGCTTAGTAGCAAAGTATTTGCCTAGCATGCATGAGGCCCTGGGCTCAATCCCCAGCGCCACCAAAAAATAAAAAGTAGTATCTACAATGAAAAACAGATTTATCAACATTTTCATCATAGAATATTCCTGAGGTGCTATATTTGGTATGGATTACAGAGCGGGGATCCCTTAATGCGCTAAAGGGTAACTGTCATATCTGTTGTCTGAAATGACCTAGATGGGACTGGAGCAAAAGTTACTTCCTCAGCAAGTAGTAATGCCTCTGTGACAAGACCATATGATTCTCAAAACCCATTTCAAGAGGCAGAAGGAGACTGTGGTAAGAGCCTAAGCCTTAGCCATGATCTAGCAAGGTGCTCAAGGAAATTTTAATGCAGGGGTTAGTGACGTATAATATTAGCCCAGTATGCTGTGCGTGTGTGTGGGATGCTGGGTAACAGGGTTCTGTGCTTATTATATGAGTGCACTGCCACRGAGCCACACCCCAGCCCTTTTTATTTTATTTTGAGACAAGGTCTCAATAAGTTACCTAGGGCCCTACTCAGTTGCTGAGGCTGGCCTTGAATCTGCAATCCTCCTGCCTTGGTCTCCCAAGTCCCTGGAATTATAGCGGTGCACCTGGGTCTTAGTTGCCATTTGCTTACTTTCTAGGCTTGTAATTGAGAAAATTACCTGCTTTTACTTTGCATTTTTTATTTTTGAGATGCTGAGATAAAGTACCACTGAGTTATGATCCCAGCTCTTTTTTTTTTCAATATCTTTATTTTGTTTATTTATTTTTATGTGGTGCTGAAGATCAAACCCAAGGTCTCACAGGGAGAGAGGCGAGCGCTCTACCACTGAGCCCGCCCCCCATCCCAGCTCTTAATWTACTTTCTTGAGCTGCATTTGGCACTGAGGCTCCACCAGAAAATGTGCCCCTTAACTGGCCTCTACCTTGAGTGCAATTTTCAGTGATAATCAGTCTTTTTTCTTGATATATTTTTGTTGTTGTTTTTCCTCCAAATTATTCTGTTATTTTGTTTTGTTTTGTTTTGTTTTTTGGTGGGGAGGGTGTTGTCCCAGGGATTAAACCCAGGAACATTTAATCACCGAGCCACATCCCCAGCCATTCTTATTTCTTTTTATTTTCCAGCAAAATAAAAARCAAGAGTTAGTTTCTTTCCCAGTTATTAGTATCTTTTATCTGGGAGTCTAGCTGTGTACATTAGGTTATGGTCACATAATTTTTTTTTTTTCTTTTTGCCAGGTAGTTGACAAACAAGATACCTAGTGTTTCTGGAAGGAATTGCTTTTTTCTGCTTTTGGCATTTCCCTTTGTGCTCATCTAAGAGGCTCCTGCCTCACTAAAATGCCTCATGACTGTGATCACATGTTTGTGAAGAAGAGGAATTCATGCATACAATGCCAGCTGCTTCCCAAAGAGTTCATCAGAATTTGTGGCTCTGTGTTCTCTGACCAAAATTTCAGTTCAGACTAGAGTGATTTTCTTTTATCTATCTGAATGATCCCTAAAGGAACCTTTGGGAATCCTATAAGATTGAAGCCCCAATATAATCTGTTTGGACATCATTATAAAATTAGTCCTCAAAAGATTAAGTAAATCTCTAAATCTCATGTTATAAAATGCTAAATTGCAAACATGTTTTTAAACCATACTATTAATATTTTTTTCTAGTTTTTCTAATTACAAAAGGGGAAATACATGGTCATATAGAAAAATGTAATCTCTCAATTGCAGATAGAGTTGCTATTGTTAATGTTTTAGTATCCTCCTGTCCCCAGGACTGAGGATTGAACCCATGGGCACTTTACCACTGAGCTACATCTCAAGTCCTTTTTATTTTTTTATTTGAGACACAGTCTTGCAAAATTGCTGAGGGTTTTGCTAAATTGCCAAATTGGCCTCAAACATGTGATACACCGGCCTCAATCTCCGAAGTTGCTGGGATTACAGGCATGTATCTGTGTGCCCAGCTTTATTGTTTTGTTTTGAGACAGGATTTCATGTTGCCTAGGCTAGCCTTGAACTTGAGTTCTTCCTGCTTCAGCCTCCCAAGTTGCTGGGATTTTAGGCTTGCCCCAGCAGTCCTGGATTCTTCTAGTCTTTTAATGCACAATCTGATGTAGTTGAGGTCAAATTATAAAGACCATTTAGTACCCTACTATTTTTTTTTTTCACTTAAACTGGAATGCGGTAAAATTTTTTTGTTTGTTTTAGGGTACTGGGGATTGAACCTTGGGGCGTTTAACCACTGAGCCACATTCTCAGCCCTTTTTATATTTTATTTTGGGACAGGGTCTTGCTGAGTTGCTTAGGGTATCCGACACCTAAGTTGCTGAGGCTGGCTTCAAACTTGCAATCATCCTGGCACCAGCATTAGGCCATCAAGTTGTTTTGTTCTTTTAAAAAAAAAAAAAACACATTTTTTCTTTAGTTGTATGTGGACACAATACCTTTATTTAGTTTTTATGTGGTGCTGAGTATTGAACTAAGTGCCTCACATATGCTATGCAAGCGCTTTTACTCTGAGCCACAACCCCAGCCCCTGTTTGTTTTGTTCTTAACCCAAAGTCTTTTTTCTAATATATTTTTTTAGTTATTGATGGCCTTTATTTAATTTATTTATATGTGGTGCTGAGAATTGAACCAATGCCTCACACATGCTAGGCAGGCACTCTACCACTGAGCTGTAACACCAGCCCTTAACCCAAAGTCTTAACAAAAATTCCTTAATAAATGTTTAATAAAAATCTTTTAAAATGTTTAATTTTTTTTATATTGGCTTATTTTAGAAATCTACATCAGGCACCTGATTTATAGTGGGCTTGTACTTTATTTGGAGGAAGGTACGAGTTGAATCAGGAACCAAAAACTCACCTAGTAGTCATTTATATCGTACTGAAACAATCTACCATAGTCCATGAGCAGGCCCTTCCTTCTGTTTCTGGTAGTCTAAACTGGAAATTAAACACAATGACTTCTCTGAAGAAGCTCTCAGACATTTTATGGGACTAATGGGAGCTGTAGAACACTATGATTCTTTTCACCAATAACATCATTCCTTGGAGAGTGCTACCCAGCCCCATCTGTACTACATCAGACTTTCTTTCTCTGAGTCTGGTTTTGTGTCAAGAATAATGCTTTAGRGGCTCAGGATCTAGCTCAGTGGTAGAGTACCTGTCTAGCATTCATGAAGCCCTGGGTTCAATCCCCAGTAATGCAAAAAAGAAAATAAAAGAATAATACTTCAGACTAGCCATCTCTACCACTGCTCTGCCTGTTCTTAATGACATTTACAGTCTTTCTGTTGTTGGTGATCTACAGTGACTTACTGCTACCCTAAGAAAAACCTTAATCCTTTAGAAATTTTTGTTCTCTAGATCAGTTCATTTCAATAGAAGTTTCCACAGTAATGCAAGAGTTCTGTATTTGTGCTGTCTAGTTATATGAGAATTCCACAGATGGCTAATGCAGGGGGAACCGAACTTTTAATTTTAAACTTAAATTGTAYATGTGGCTGGTGGCTACCTTATTGGATAGTGCAGCTCTAGATCATCCCAGCTGGTTCTTTGAGTTCCTCTCCTGGGGAGGACAGTTAGATTCTTTAGTTGTTTGTACCCACTGTGCTCTGTTTTGTCCTGCCAGCAGTGTAGGATCAGGAAGAACTGYTTCTATGAGGAGCTTCTGGAAGAGGATGGGACTACTTAGTATTCTCTCAGAATCACATATCTAGAGATTCTCTGGAGGGCCAGCTCTTGGAAAGGTACTTATTAGCAGTTCCATACCTCTGGAAGCTGTTGTAGAGACAGAATAAACATGTCATGATAAAACGATTTCTAAATAATGAGAGGCTTCTCAGGGAGGGGATTATACTTTATGAAAAAAATCAAGTAAAAGGGTTTTTTTCTTCCCTAATATGTTACCCTTTTGGTACTCTGATGTCATACTCTTGCAACTCCGGCATCTGAAACGCTGCAGAAATGCCTGAGTCATCACCATTGATTTCTTTTCCTCAATCAGATATTACTATCAATCAGATATTACTATCATATAATCTCTTTTTAGAAATTTGGGGAATTTTCCTTGAATCTTTTGTCTAAGTTCTGCTTTTTATATGTTTCAGTGATTTGTCCTTTTTTTTTTTTTTTCTTATCTCCAGTTTCGTAGGATGCAATAGATATGCCAGGGTGTTAGGAGCCCTATTCTTTTTCTTTCCCTTCTTCAGTGACATTGTTTTACTTCTTTGTTAGATTTTAAGTCCTCCATTTCTGATCCGTTCATGGCCTTGTCCTCTTCCTAATCCTTTCTTTAATTCCTAGACCTGGGTACCTTGGCTCTTGCTCTCCTTCATCCCTCTCAAGGTTGGCATCTAAGGCCTTTCTTCCCAGGTAACTTCCCATGTGTGTTGACGGTGTGCTGTCATACGCTGATCCATCTTTTACTCTCTTCCCACAAATTCTCACTGCTTCCTTCAGTAGGAAGGCATGAAGTTCCAAGCTTTGCTGGGAAACTATTCTGCTTCCCTTTATCTTCACAGTAATCCAACCAAGGCATAATCTCACTTCTGAAGACATAGCTGGTACTAGCGCAAGTCAGTAACCCACCCTGCTTCTGAGCTTTCAGTGAAAACCATTTTAGGTTGATGGCAACCAGGAAACTGCACATGCACTGCTTTCACTGTGAACTGAATTTGCTGCACATTTGGGGAACCACATGGGGAAACTGACTGTGTTTTCTGCCTTCTGTTGACAGAATGGTACACGAAACTTCCAGGACTTTGACTGTCAGGTAAGGACTGTACAAGCACAAAGAGGCTCTGTACAGGATCTCTGCAGTGCCTCTCTTCCTGTGGTGGTGGTCTTGTAGAAGTGGATCTCTTCCCATAGCTAATCATGACTCTTTAATGTTCTTTTGGTCATTTCGATCAAGTTTATTTAAAATGATTTGCTATCATGTTCAAAAATTGCCTGCCAGGTAGCTTTGTTATGACTGTAGGTTAGTGGATTGAGCTGTCTCTTTGTGATTAAGATCTCCTTTCCTCGAATGATATTGGAAATCTCATTTGTCACAGCTGGCAGATGGCATGTTGTCACCTGAGTGCAGAGAAGGTAGAGCATGGGCAAGTTTGGAGGAGAGGCTTCTCAACAGCAAATTCTTCTCCTAAAAGAAAAAGGCAAATTTTTATCAGTACAGAATGAACATTTTTCTTGGTTTTGTGTTTGAAAATGCAGAATTCAACCTGACTCGTTAGTATTTTCCTATGATACAGTTCTTCTTAGTCTACTTTTGCCTGTAGCTCTATTGCCAGTTTGAAAATCAGTAAAATGAACCAGCAGTTCTCAATTTACCTGCTTTATCTGTTAACTGATCCTGATAGAAATGGGAACCTTGTAAGCCTAGGCAGCTTGTCCTTCCCACTTCTGGGATAGACGGCATAGTAGTGACATGAAGTAGACTCAAAGGAAAAAATAGTAATGAGGGTTCTAAGAAACCAAATTCCTTGCTTCTAGTATTCTACCCATCCTGTATACCCATAGGCAAATAGTATTTTCAAGTATGTATTTTATGTTAAGTACCTTAGAACTTCTATATTGTTAGCATCAAAAGGAAGAACTGATAACTATTGCATAGGCAAACCAGTTATAACAAGATAATTTATTGGATACCTACTATGGATTACCTGCTAAACATATAGCTTCTCCAGTCCTTAAAGCAATATTATGAGATAGGCTTTTTTTTAATATTTGTTTTTTAGTTTTAGGTGGATACAGTGTCATTATTTTATTTTTATGTGGTGCTGAGGATGGAACCCAGTGTCTCATGCATGCTAGGCAAGAGCTCTACCACTGAGCCACAACCCCAGCCCTGTGAGGTAGTTTTTATTATCCTTGTTTTCAAGGTAAGGAAATTGAGAATCAGGGTTCATAATTTGCCATTGAGTGGTTGGAATTGAAAAATATCATTCTTCCTGAACCCAATAGCTTTCTTTCTCACCTGTGTGTGTCCCTAGCTGAGATGTTATTAAGAGTTAAATTGTCTTTAAAGCTAGGCTTCCTGGTAGGACAGATGAGATTCATTGTGGAAGGGGCATACTCATAATATTGTTGTAGATTTCAGAATCCCAGTTCCAAACACCCTTGGTGTAACTACTTGAGACTTTGTATATATAACATAATCAGTCTAGTGCTATTAGGTGATTATTTATAGATAATGGCTTCTTTCCTAAAAAAAAAAAAAATTAGGTTTGGGTTTAGGTAGTTTTGGGGTTTAGTAGTTTTTAATTCAGTTATGGTTGACTCCTAGGTTGAATCAATTATGTTTGATATTTGATAGAATTTGTCTATAAGGAGATCATTTGAGAGAGGATGATAATAAGATTCAGGATGAGGTACTCCAGAAATAACATATGTGTAATCCTATCTGAAAGTGTGGAAGCATTGCTTTTCATTAAATTCAGTATCTCTCCTCCAAAAATAAAGAATATAAAAAAAATCATGTATGTTCACTGCAAAAATAAATAAGAAAATGTTAATGTAATAATATTTTGATTATATCCTTTGAGATTTTTTACCACACATAATTATAAATATAAGTAAAATAGAGTTGACTATTAAGGACTAAAAATACCCTGACAAAAATTCTTTCTGTGAATTATACCTTTTAGTTCAGTTCTTCTATTCAGATAAAATGATGGCAAGTGTTTGTCACTGTCTTGTTTGTCACTAGTTATGAATGGATAGATTCTTTAGGTTATAAAGAAGAATGGTGGTGCCTGTAATTCCAATTCAGGAGGCTGAGGTAGGAGGATTGCAAGTTTGAGGCCAGGTTCAACAACTTAGCAAGACCCTCTCTCAAAATAAATAATGAAAAGGACTAGATGTAACTCAGTGGCAAAGCACCCCAGTACAAAAAGAAGAAGAAATAAGCCAAAGACTGTTCTCTTTTCCTCCTTCTGGTGCTCATGAGTGTTCTTCCGTCGCCGTTCTTGTCCATCTCCTTGTTAAAGGCTTATGGGATGTCCTGGAGACAAGGGGCAGCTGGGTCAGAGTCTAGCAACAGGCTGATAGAAGAACAAGGACATAGGAACTGTGATGTGAGAAGTCTAGTTTAGAATGGCCCAGTTTGCCTGGAGTTTCCTAGACATCCTTGGGCATTCTTGGAGACAAAGCAGAACAAATATAAAACCACCATTGTCACTAAATGGAAAAACATTTCCCTGGTATTGGTGTTGTCCACTAGCACAGCTGTGTCATTGGGTGAACTGAAGCCATCCTAACCAGGGCTTCCTTGGTGTCTTTGCCTTGCCTAAGGAAAATTTTTAAGGAATCTTTGATGATGGCCCCAGGAAATTATCACAGGAAGTTAACCACTAAGCTCACAACTTGAATTTAAACTGTCTTTTTTCCCTCTGGTTTTTGTGTGAGTGTATCTGTGTGTGTGTTTGGTACTGAGGATTGAATCCAAGGCCTTGTGCATTCTAGGCAAGCACCTACGTCTGAGTTACATCCCCAGTCTCTCCCTCTGTTTTTTTCTTTACTAATCAATTACATCAATTTTTTTCAATAATAATTTAATTAAAAGTATGCCTTTTTCTTGGTTTTTTGATTGTCCTTAGTGGTTTTGTTGTTATATAGCTCCTCTGATAAAAAAAAAAAAAAAAAAAACAGTTATACTATGGACATGAGTAGTGAGGGAAGGAGAATAGCTCAAAGTGACATACTTGGAATTGATGAGAAAGAAGAGCCTATTGCCGAATGACACAGTGAATCAACAGGCTGTTCACTGTCCATTTAAGTATGTCCTTGATGCTGTAGCTTCTCTGTGAATGTGATATATTGCTAAAAAAAAAAAAAAAAAAAAACTTGAGAACAATCAAACACAAATTTAAAAAATTCAGAAAAGCATGAAAATAAAAGTTGCTTATAATCGTGCTACCTATAGATGTTACCAGTGGGAATCAGGTTTGGGTCCATGTTCCAAGGAGTTGAAGAATGAACACTGCAAACACCAAGATAAGCAAGCAGAAATTGATTAAAGAGGAGGTTAAGATTCAAAAAGTAAAAACTCCCAAGGAGAGTATGGGAGGGGCAAGAGTACAAAGGGTCTCTTGGCATCCCTTCTTTTAAAGGCACCTGAGGGCTGGGTGTGGTGGGTGGCACATACTTGTAATCCTAGCAGCTTGGGTAGTTGAGACAGGAGGAACAGGATTCCCAATAAGTTGCTGAGGCTGGCCTCAAACTTTCAATTCTCTTGCCTTAGGCACCCAAGTAGTTAGCATTACAGGAGTGCACTGCTGTGCTGGGCTTGGRGTTATTTTGGTTTTATCCTTTTTGTTTTTGTGGTGCTGGGGATCAAACAGGGTTTTACATATGCCAGGCATACTCTATCACTGAGCCGCATACCCAACTAGGAGTTGGTTTTAATGGAGAAAAAGGCAGATTTTAGATTGACATATTACAAAAGAGGTTTTCAAATGAAGAGTATGATATATGAGAAGCCTGAGAGTTGTAGGTGGTTGTAAAGTAAAAGTAGATGTCTAAAAGTGTTGATTGAACTAGGCTGAAAGGTGTAAGAAGTCAAGGGCAGAAAAGTTGAGGCTAGAGTCAGGGAGAATGAATTATAAAACTTGAAAAAGGAAAATGTGTTCTACTGATAGGCAGAAGGTTGAGTAATTGGCAGATTATTTTACCATGAGATTAAAAGAGATTGTGCAGATGAACTTTATACCTGCATACAGGAGTAAAGAAGTGGGGGTATTGTATCAAAAAAGTCCTTCATATTGATGTATCAGGCAAGTGTGTAATTCATTGAGGTCCAGGGTTTGATCTCCAACATTAAAAAAAATCATATAATAATGAAAACTATACCTAATACTCAAACTGTATCCTACTTATTGGAAACAGAATAAAACTTTATGCTGATAAAATCTTACAAGTTTATCTGAATTATTTCAGACTGGCTCAGGAAAAGAAGTTGTAACAGACATGAAGTGATCATCATTTAACCAAGTGTGAGGTATATGACGGGTCAAAATGTATCATGCTGATAACAGTACATTTAGCTGAAGGAAGAGAACTCAAGAAAAAAGTGAATAATTGCCATTATTCTCAAATAATGACAATATCCACCCAAATTCTAAACTCCTAAATTCTTAGTATACTGATTAAGATTACATTTTTCTGGGGCTGAGATTGTGGCTCAAGGATGGAGTGCTTGCCTACCACATGTGAGGCTCTGGGTTTGATCCTCAGCACCACATAAAATAAATTAAAAAATAAAGGTATTATGTCCATCTACAACTGGAAAAAAAAGACTACATCTTTCAGTGAGGAGAGAGATGTCATGGGCCTATATGATTTCAGGTTGTTTATTAGCCTGGAGAATAAAGGGATCATATTCACAAAGCACACAGCCTTGGAGAAGGTAACTAGAGCCTGCGAGGTGCTACCTTGGGCTACGCCCTTTGAGTACAGGCTCATTGTGGGGTCACACTCTGGAATCCTGGGGCAGGGGATGATGTAACTAGAGAAAGCCTGTAAGATAGATGATAGTTGACTAAAGCAGAAAGGTGGCGACAACTCACTCCCTGCAGTGGCCCGACCATTGAATCAGCCTCATAGCCCAGGTCTCTGCACCTCATCTCCAGATGGCATCTTGTACAGGCTGTTCACGAACAGGTTTGAGAAGGACGAGTGTAAAAATCCCCGGGGAGGTGAGTGCCTCCTTTATCTTCATTCTTTATTCTGCTCAGAACATTTAATTTCCATACTTTTGAAAATGAAGAGGAGCACTATGAGACTTTGGCAATGAAGCAATGAAGGACTGCTCCAGAAAGAGCAACAGCAGATCTTAGGACTCTTGGCTCTTTTTTTTTTTTTTTTTTTTTGGTGGAGGGTGCAGCAGCAGGGGCACCAGGGATTAAACTTGGGCACTCTACCACTGAGCCACATCCCCAGCCCTATTTTGTATTTTTTATATAGAGAGGGAGTTGCTTAGTGCCTCACTTTTGCTGAGGCTGACTTTGAACTCATGATCCTCCTGTCTCAGCCTCAGGACCCGCTGGGATTACAAGCGTGCGCCACCACACCCAGCTTCTTGGGTCTTTTAATAATTTGAAGCCATATTATGTGGAGGTAGGGACTGAGATCTCCCTAGAAGGTTGATTTTTCTAAGGAGCTAGTTTTAACTCTGAATTTCATCCAAGTTATGAATGATGAAAAGTAGTTACCTTGCCCTATTCCCTCATCTATTTTTTTAAAAGTGTTCACTTTTATCCCACCTGTTTTATCTCCTTTTTCCTCATCCTTTTCCTGGCCTTCTTTGGCACCTCACCTTTCACTCCACACACAGAGACACACTGTCACCAATTCCCTTGCCTTGGGGAGGTCCTCTGCTTAAAACCAAAATATAAATTAGTGTTTCTCTCAATTGTTAGTAGCACAGCTGAGGCCAATCTGAAATATTCAAGCAGGACTCTACTGAAGGTTTGAGCATAAACCTTCAGAAACAAAACGGAGAAGTTGTTTTGAGTTCACTTTCAGAATTCATCACCTTCCAGAAAGAAATGAAGTCCTAAAGTTAGTGTCCATTCTTTCTCTAAGATTTTATACTTTAAATATATGTCTGTGAACATATATAATCTATAGTTCTGCTTTTCAGAATACATGCATAACTGGTATATAATACATATACATCCTCTGCCTCTTGCTCTTACTTGGCATGTGTTTTCAAGATTTTCTGTATGTTAATGCTTATACTATTAGTTCATTCATTTTTATTTATACTTCATTATGTAAATATATCATAATTCATTTATCAATTTCCCTGTTGATGGATATGTGGGCTGTTTTCTTCTCCACCATCCGTGTCACTAAGGATTGAATCCAGGGACACTCTACTACTCAGCTACATCCTCAGTCCTTTGTTTATTTAAAAAATTTTTTTAGTTGCAGTTGGACACAATACCTTTTTTTATTTATTTTTATGTGGTGCTGAGGATCGAACCCAGTGCCTTGCAGGTGCTAGGGGAGCGTTCTATTGCTGAGGCACAAACCTAGCCCCCCTTTATATTTTTTTATTCTGAGCCAAGGTCTTGCTAAATTGCACAACTTGACCTCAAAATTGCAATCCTCTTCCTCCCCCTCCCAGAAAGAGTGTATGGGGTTATAGGCATGTGCCACCATGCCCACCTGTTTTTCAAATTTTTTTTTTTACATAAGCAAGATTGCAAAGTATATCTCTGTATATGACTTTTTGTATGTGACCATGTTTGAGAATTTCTTTAGTTTATACCTGAAGGTAAAATTGCTGTAGGGTAGGCACTTCTTAACTTCATTAGAAATTACCAGGGTAATTGTTCCAGTGTACATACCTACCAATATGTATATGTATATGTGAGTTGTTATTTTTCTACATTCTGTGTAGAATGTATGTGTATTTGACAACATCTCATTGAATTTAATTTGTACTTTCCTGACTGCTTAGTGAAGTTAATGTCTTTCTTAATTTTCTAAATTTTTTTCATAGCACTTATCACAAGACATTATTATGGATTGGTGGTTTGTGTATTCATTGCCTGCCTCCTAATCTCTGTAGAAGCGGGAATTGCATATCTTTGGTTTGCTGTTTTATTCTCAGAGCTCAGTCCAGGTTCTTTCATATAGTAGGAGTTTAGTAAATAAATAATGAATAAACCTGGAGCGGTTCCCTCAATAGCTCTAACATTACTGTTAGAGAGACACTCATATAGTAAACAGGGATTTGTGTCTTTATATTCCTCCTATCCAAACCCTAGGCTTTATTGCTTAGCCAGTTCACTGTACATGATTCTGTCCTTCATTTTTTCCCTTACTCAAGCCTTGAATAGGAGGGATCAGTAACAGAGTAACAGACGTATTAAGTCACACATGGCTTGATTTGATAGAGTTATTTTCTATTTGAGCTTGAGGCCAGTGATTTGAGATATCCTGATATCAACTTAGCCTGAAATTGTCTTCCATTTCCCACATCAGAGAAGAAGCCAAAGCTCTGATGAGGTTCATTATTAGATAGGAAATTAAGCTGGAAGCCATTTGCGTTTGTTGGTATTCTTATTGACAAAGTTAATCTTATCTAATATAAAACTTTCTGAGATAGATGCAGACTTTATCAGTGGAAGTTCACGGGGTTAGGCATGATATTTTTTTTTTTTGAGAAATAAAAGTTGGAGAAGACTAGAATAAATATGACTTAACTTTTCAGTAGTCTTTTTCTTTTCCATCCCATCATTCTTCCCCTCCCGCCATCCCAGCAGCATGGGAGATTGAACCCAGGGTTGCTCCACCACTGCCCTATATCCCTAGCCCTTTTTATTTTGAGATAGAATCCCAATAAGTTGCTGAGGCTGGCTTCAAACCTGTGATTCCCCTGCCTCAGCCTTATGAGTCAGTCGTTGGGATTACAGGTGTGAGCCACCATACTCTACTCTATCCCATTATTCTTAGTGCTGCGTCCTTTCCCAGCAGCACTGATTACTTCCCTTTCCAGCTTATTTCAGTCTGGAGCTCTGCTCTGGCTACATCTTAAACTTTACTCATTGCCTTGATTAGTATCCTCTGGGATCTAGGAAACATCCAATCTGGCTTAAACCAGAGGCAATCCAGGGATGCCTCGATATTGCAGAGCACATACAGAACCAAGAACCAGGATTTAGCATGGTGGAAATGCCTCCTAAAAGCTCCCACATTTACTTATCTTTTCAAGAAAAGAACCAAGCTAAGGRTGAAATTTCTTAATCCTAATTACAAATTTCTATGGGATGAGAAATTATGGCCAAAGGTTGTGTTCTACAAACGTGGCATCTAAGAACCTTCCTTTAATATGCAGAGGACACAGAAGGACAGCACCCAAGAAAGGACAGAGATTCTAGGTAGATACACCCATGGGTCTCTACTGAAGTTACCTGTAGCTAAACATGTGTTCAGAAGCTTTGAAGCTTCTGACTTTTTAATCCACCAGTTTCTTCATATCAGTGTTTCCTTAACTTTTCTTCCACCAAGTCTTACTTGGCTCCTTCTCCAACTTGCTGATCTCTTTCCCATAACCAATTGCAAATGTAAATGTATTCTACTTATTTGTTTGTTTATCTGTTTGGAGGGTTAGAAAATACAAATACCATATATAATACAGTATCTTTCTGGTATGCTTATAGTTCATTAATGTGTCCTGCCCCAGCTAATAGGAAATGGCAGGGAAGCAGGTATTGTGAAACGTGTGCAAACTGGAAAGTTCATTTTACCTTTCCCGAGACCTTATATTTATGTTCTCTTGTTACAGGAACATGACATAGAAACAACTCATGGTATGGTCCATGTCACTATAAGAGGTTTACCAAAGGGAAACAGACCAGTCATCCTGACCTATCATGACATTGGGCTGAACCGTATGTATTTATTTTATACCTTTCCTCTTCATCATAATACTTAACCATTGTATAAACAAAAATATTCTAATAGAGCAGAGATTTTTTTCCCCTCTGTCTTAACCTTCCCTCTGTATTGTTATATTCATCAATGGGAGGTTCAGGTTCCTGTGAAGTGTACAGAGGGATGTTTTTTGGAGAATACTGGAATTATATATGCTTTTGTGTCCGAGCTGCTTAAGGATTGAAGAGAGTGCAATGAAAGAAGAACATTTATTTTTTAAGTCTGTACTTTGATGTTTTTCATGTTTCAGGTTAGAAAATCTAGACTTTGAACTTAACTTGGTTGTAGGCATTTCAGCAAATTAATAAATGTGTTCTTTCTACAGCTTGTTATTAGGGACAAATGAATTTCATGTTTATACTTGGGTCCTACTCCCAAGATTATTACATTTATGTGAAAATATTCTAAAATCTGAAACACTTCTGGTCCCAAGCATTTTAGATAAGGAATATCCAACCAGTAACATAAGATTCAGCTCTAGTCACAGGTACAGTCTATATAAATGTGGCTTTTTTCCATTCTTCTTCCACTGGTAGGGCTTTTGTAGCCACCAGCATGAGAAATTATTTAAGCTGTTATACTAAGAGGGTAGAAATCAAAGCAGCAGAACACTCATCCCCTAGCACCCTAGCAGTTTTGGCAAGAAGCTAACTCCTCCCATATGGTAAATGTAAGCAGCTCAAGATACTCACTTTAGCCAGGCTCTTGGGGTATAGTCAGTGTCTCTTTATCAGATAGGGGAATAAGGTGCATGAAAAACAACAGCACTGTGTATATGAGATTATTGGGTGCAACACCATGAAACCAGCATCTCTCCACATCTCCTTTTTGTAGATATTGTGTGGGCTTCAGAATTACTTGTTCTCAAATCATCGAGATGTCTCCTGTTCACCCTTTAGGGCAGCTTGAATTAGATGGTTTGTTCAGACACCTCACTTTAGTGGAATGTGATTAAAAGAAAATGAAAAAGAAAACTGATCAGCATTGACTGAGGAGAGAAAAATTGGAGAGAAATGAATAGTATGTGATTCACAGGGATTTTTATCTCGTAGATAAATCTTGTTTCAACACGTTCTTTAACTTTGAAGATATGCAAGAGATCACCCAGCACTTTGCTGTCTGTCATGTGGATGCCCCAGGCCAGCAGGAAGGTGCACCCTCTTTTCCAACAGGGTAAGGCCATAGGCAAGACCTTTTGCAAGACATACACTCAGAAAAGCAAATGACTGAGTTCTAGTGGGAGCAGAATGTATGCTTCTTTCCCATTGATTTTATGACAGCCTAAGGTTATACTCCTAACCCACTGTCTTCATGTTTTTTTCACATTGATCTAAAAGAACTGTATTTATAGTCTTTTGAGGGAAACTGCATGTTTTCTTATGTTCAGGAATAATTCTCCATGGCAGGAACCTGCTTACCTATAATCATAAGGTATAAGTGTCTGAAAAACCTACTTATCACTGTTTATCTGTCCCCTTCCTCATCTGTTTTAAATTTGTCATTTTTGTGTCTGTCCCTGAAAAACTCCCAACTATCCAGGTATAACCTCAGATCCCTCTGAGCTTCCCTGGGAGCACTTGCCCAGTCTTAGCTCCTTGTCTAGTGGTAGAAATTAGATATCCATGTAGCCAGTTACTCTTAGAGCTGCCTTGACAGATGGAGGTGCCTGCTTTGCATGGTGGGGTCACAGTGTTCCCTGACAGCGTGCCCAGTTGGAGGACCTTGGGAAAGGGAGTGGGAGTACACACTGTGAAGTGCTTATTCTTCCCCTCTCTGCATCTCCAGCACTGCCTTTGGCCAGTGACTGCCATGAAGTAGACATTGCAAACAACTGATCGCTAGCACTTGTGTAGAACCCAGTGTTCCACACGCTGCTTTGGATAATTTATGTTTATTAACTCACTTGATCCTCCCAACCCTCTGGGATAGTTTTACTTTTATTCCCATTTTACAGGTGAGGAAACTGGGGCCCAGAAAAATTAGTAACTTGGTTAAGGTTGCATAACACATGAGTTAGCATGGCTAGGACTTGAATCCAGTCCATCTGGCTCCAGAATCTGTATTGACTGTTTCCAAGTACTTTTGTATCTCAAATGCAAACCAGCTAGTGATCTTGTTGACACCCAATGGTTTGGATCCAGTCCTCTTTTTTGTTTTGTGCACAAATGGTTTTAGAACATATCATCCCTTAGAGTATTCAAGCAGAGGCAGAAGAGCAGATCCCATCTCATATTGGAAATTATCTTAAGATCTCTTTCATCTCTGTATCTTGCTCCTTAATTTTCTTGGAGACCTGCTCTGGGTCTGTTCCTGGGCTTGCCTGACCATTTTAAGATCAGATGGTTCATTTCATGAAAAGCAGTTAATGTTATTCTATGCCTAAGTGAAACAAACACTCATAACTGAGGAGCCCAAGATTTATAACTGTATGCCTAGACCCAGAAAAGTTTTGTTTACCTTTGTATTTAATGACCTGAATATAAGCAGCACATTATGGCTACTTAAATTCAGAGCTACTTCCTGAATTGACTCTTACTGCTGGAAGTTAACTGAGCTTAGATCCCATTGAATGATTATTAGGAATTTGAAAATAATATCAGAAGAGAGGACCATATTGCCAGTTTTTTTTTCCCCCCTTTGGTACCAGGAATTGCACTCAGGGGCACTTGGCCACAGAGCCACATCCCCAGCCCTACTTTATATTTATTTAGAGACAGAGTATCACTGAGTTGCTTAGCACCTCACTTTTGCTGAGGCTGGCTTTGAACTTGTGGTCCTCCTGTCTCAGTTTCCCAAGCTGCTGGGATTACAGGCATGAGCTACCACACCYGGCTATATTGCCAATTGTTTACATGTGGCTTCCTCTAGTGCCAGAAACATGTGGATTCTTTTTTTGGTACTAGGGATTGAAACTTGGGGCATTCTAACACTGAGTTATATCCCCATTTTTGTTTTGAGATAGGGCTTCATAAGTAGCTGATACTGGCCTCAAACTTGTGATCCTCCTGCATAAGCTTCTCAAGTCACTGGGATTACAAGTGTATGCCACCATGCCCTGTTAACATGTGGATTCTTTTATTTTTTTCTTAGCATGGCAGTCATAGAGAATTATACAATATGCTGCAGTCATTTCCAGGCACTTCACCTCCTTTGAAATGTGTTTCTCTAAGACTACTGCATTATGTTTGCTTTTCTAGTAACTGGGAACTGTGTGGGTGCTTTCTAATTCAGGAGTTATCCTTCTGGATTTCAGGTACCAGTATCCCACAATGGATGAGCTGGCTGAAATGCTGCTTCCTGTTCTTACCCACTTAAGGTAGGTTCATCATACAGCCTTTAACTATTTATTTATTTATCTGTTCATTCATCCATTTATTCATTCATTTTGTGCCAAGGATGGAACCCAGGGCCTCATGCATGTTAGACAAGTGCTCTACATTGAGCAATACACCTAGCCCTTTCACATTCTTTTTGTATGTCTTTACTTTCTACTTTGTTTCTATTTCAGCTAATACAATGATGAGCAAACAGAATACCCCCTATCTTCATGGAGATTAGTTGTGGGGGGGGTAGTTAACATGTAAATAGATAATTCTAATAAAATGTCATAAAAGTGGAATGAATAGAGCTTTTATAGCTCAGTGGTAGAGCGCTTGCTTACCCTGTCCCAAGACCCTGCCTGGGTTTAATCCCTAGCACCTAAACAACAACAAATAGAAGCCAGTGGAGGTATTGTGATAAAGAGAAGGGTAGGATCCTTATAAACAAGGCCAGTTAGGGAATGCCTGTCTAAGAAAAGTCATGTAARCTGAAACCCAAGAAGTAAAAAGGAGCTGTCTAGATGGTGTGCCAGAGCAAGAGGATTCCAGACAAGAAGAAGAGTTATAAGAGCAAGTGGAAGAAAGACTCAGTGAAATTCCAGAAATAGATAAAAGCCAGATTATATAGGTCTAACAGATCAGGTAAGGATTTGTAATTTTATTCTTAAGTGTAAAGCAAAGAAACTGAAGGATTTTAATCAAAGGAGTGATATACAATTTACTGTTTTAAAGTAATCACCCTGATATGTGAATTGTATATACATCATTAAGCTGTTTAAAAAATGTTTCAAACAATTACTCTTGCTGTAATAGTTTGGACTGTAACAGTAGTTCTGCCAAGAGATAATGATAGCTTGGTACAAAATGCTGTTGGAGGATAGTCTGAAATGGACAGTAATAAATGGAAATATTCTTGGGATACACTTCATAGGATTTGCTGATGGGTTAGATATTGAGGTGATAGGACAGTGAGGATGTCGTGCAAGGTTCAGTCATATCTCACTTAACCATTAAAAACTTCCTTAAAATATGAATGACAATAAATGCCGGCAAGGTTGTGGAGAAAAGGTGCACTTTGTACATTGTTGATGGGACTGCAGACTAGTACAACCACTTTGGAAAGCAGTATGGAGATTCCTCAGAAAACTAGGGATGGAACCATGTATCCCACTTTTTGTTTTCCCAGAAGATCTAAAACCAGCATGCTACAGCAATACAGCCACCTCAATGTTTATAGCAATACAATTCACAGTAGCCAGCTGCCCGACAACAAATGAACRGATTAAGAAATTGTGTTGATATATATAATGGAGTTTTACTCAGAAAAAAGAATAAAATTATGGCATTTGCTGATAAATGGATGGAAATGGAGAATATCATGCTAAATAAAATAAACCAAACTCAGACACTCAAAGTTAGAATGTTTTCTCTTATCTACAGAAGCTAGATTAAAATAAAGGAAAGATAGGGATCGGGGGACTAGGGTTGTGGCTCAGTGTTAGAGCGCTTGCCTAGCATGTGTGAGGTAATGGGTTCGATTCTCAGCATCACATATAAATAAATAAAAATAAAAGGTCCATTGACAAATATTTAAAAAGGGGTGGGGGGCAGCTGGGGTTGTGGCTCAGTAGTAGAGTGCTCTCCTACCATGTATGAGGCACTGGGTTCGATCTTCAGCACCACATAAATGTAAAATAAAGATATTGTGTCCACCTACAACTAAAAAAATAAATATTTTWAAAAAAGAAAGGATGACCTAAGGAACCAATCAAATATAAATTAATAGATGAGCAAAAGGAAGTCTAGTAGAGCAGAGAAAGGAGAATGGAGAGGGGAGGGAGGAGACCAGGGAAAAGAGGAGGGAAAGGTGGGGGATGATGAATTAAAGTCAATTTCCATGCATGAATGAGTTTGTTGGGAGGAATCCAACAACTGTGTATAATTATAAAACAAAAAAAAAGCCTCGAGCCTGATGCAGTGGTGCACACCTGTGATCCCAGCAATTTGGGAAGCTGAGGCAAGAGGATTGCAAGTTAAAAAGGAAACCAAGGCTCAAAAAGTTGAAAATTTTTGCCCAAATTCTCACAGATAGTCAGTATCAGAACCCAAATATGAATCCAGAATTATTCTTTCCATACACAATGCTACCTGCTAATGAAGTTGACTGTCCATTTGTCATTTGTCCGTCTGTTCCATTCACAGTCTGAAAAGCATCATTGGGATTGGAGTTGGAGCTGGAGCCTACATCCTCAGCAGATTTGCAGTAAGTACATGGAAGATTAGTCTCAATGCCCTTGAGACACTGCCTGGATCACAGCTATTACTGCTGTGTAAAATGACCAGGCAGTGTTCTGGGTCTTGTGTTAGTTTTTCTGTAAATGATATCTCCAAGTCCAGGTTTGAATAAAGCCTTGCTTTGTACTTGTAGAACATCAAAAAACCTAAATGAGAACAGTATCTCATCTGTAAAAAGTCCTAGAAGCAGCTTATGATAAAATTTTTATAGCCATTAAAATCAAGTTTAAGAAGAGCTTATAATGACATGTGATTTTCTTTTTTTTAATTTTTTTTGTARTTGTAGATGGACAGAATGCCTTTATTTTGTTTTGTTTTGTTTTATGTGGTGCTAGGARTGAAACACAGTGCCTCACACATGCTAGGCAAGTGCTCTGCCACTGAGCAGCAGCCCCAGCCCTGTGATTTTCATATGCTATAATGTAACAGAAAAGTTAGAATACAAGTTACATGGACTGGGGTTATAGCTCAGTTGGTAGAGTTCTTGCTTTGCAGGCACAAGGCCCTGGGTTCTAATTCCTAGCACCACATCACCACCACCACCAACACACACACACACACACACACACCAAAAAAAAAAAAAGTTTCATAAAATTTATCATAAGTTGAGGAAAGGACTGGAAGGAAATTACCAAAATATTAACAGGCATTGATGTATGGCAAATAATACAAGATTTTGGTTTTTGCTTTTTATAATTTCTCTGTTCGTCAGACTCTACAATGAGCCTACTCAGAAGGAAAAAGTAAGCTGGGGAGTTTTGAGTTTGTAGGGAAGTATTCCTTTTTAAGGAACTTTTCTGAAATGGCTCCTGGTCATAGGAGTCTTTGGGGATGGCATGACCTGTTCTGGGGATTTCATAAAGAACTTCAGAAGCCCTTGTTGGAAACAACTCATTACATTTTAGATGASTATGAAACAACCCATCCAAGCCTGTACCAAGTGGTTTCAAGGGCATTTGCCCATCAAGGAAAACCTACCATGAGTTGAATAACTACATTGTGCTGTCCTCTGCTGTAAAAACAGAAAACCTGTGTTCCTTATAAATTGTGGCAAAGATCATTCAGTAGCATTTTTAGAAACTCGTTTCCAGATGCTAAGTCAGATTTCAAGAGCTATTTTCCATGTATTTTCCTGAGTACCTCTCTGTAGTGATACTTTCAAATATAAGGCATTATAGCATGATTTAAATCAGCTATAGCTGGATTTATAGCTTAGTGGCAGAGTGCTTGCCTATCTTGCACAAAACCCTGGATTCAATTCCCACCACTGTAGAAAAAGAAAAAATGTATTAGCTAACTTTGTCCCAGATGTTTTAAAAGTGGAAGTTTCATACTCTTGTGTTTGTGTCACCTTTCAGCTCAATCATCCTGAGTTAGTGGAAGGCCTTGTGCTCATTAACGTTGACCCATGTGCTAAAGGCTGGATTGACTGGGCAGCTTCCAAAGTAAGTGCCATCTGCTCATCTCTTGGAACCTTCTAAAAACAGCTTAATTTTTTTTTTCATTGAACTAGATACACAATTAAAGACAAGAAATTTAAAGTATATACTTTGTTAAAGTTTACATATGTAATCGCCACCAATCAATGTATACAGACGATTACCAGCTCCCTAGAGCACTTCCTTGTCCTTTTTTTTTTTTTTTGGTACCAGGGGTGGTTAACCACTGAGCCACATCCCCAGAATATAACTCAAACTAAAAAATAAACTCAAAAAATAAAAAGGATTGGGAATGTAGCTCAGTGGTAAAGCACCCCTAGGTACAATCCCTATAATAATAATAATAATAATGATAACAACAACAACAACAATAATAATGTTGTTATTCAGCTTTTTAAGAAAATTTCTCATGTTAAATGAAAAAATGGACATAAAACCATATAATATTATTCCAATTTTGTTAAATGCATATATGCATAAGAGGGAAAATATGTTACTAGTGCTTATATCTTTTCCTGTTAATATTATAAATTTTCTTTCATATTCTCTATTTTCCTAATTTTCTATAATAAGCTATATTACTTTTATAATTATTTAAAAATATTCTACCTCGGGGCTGGGGATATGGCTCAGGCGGTAGCACGCTTGCCTGGCATGCGTGCGGCCCGGGTTCGATCCTCAGCACCACATACCAACAAAGATGTTGTGTCCGCCGAGAACTAGAAAATAAATATTAAAAAAAAAAAAAAATATTCTACCTCCCAGCAGACCACCCCTTCCTACACTTTAGTTCTGGAGAAGCAATGCATTTCCTAGCTTTGAATGAAATATATTAATGATGCTGAGAAATTCTTTCTCACAGCCTGATTTATGTAAAAATTTGTTCTAGTTCCTATCAAGTATATAGGTATATCAGCACTTACCTGAACATTCTCAATGTCAACCTGATAAAATTCCCATAAAACTCTGCAGATTTGTTAACTTTTATGAATACTTACAAGTTAGAAAGATTGGTTACTAATTCTGATTATCTTTAATTTATAATCTGTGGATTGCTGATTACCCACATGAAGATTTCAGAACTTACTTATTAATCTTTCTGGGACTATGTGATCCTATTCACCTGTCCAGTCTGTCTTCCTTACCACCTATCCCCAAATCAGTTTACTGATGATCTAAGACTATAGTAGAAATTTCACCAAAAAAAAAAAAAAGAAGGCTGAAAGGGGAATCAGCAACATAATTTGAGTTGGAAGTTTCTCTGAAAATAGACTAACAGTCTACAGGTTTACACAGATTGCTGTGTTTATTAGACCATGAGGTGCATCATTTTGAAATGGAGAGAATTGGGAGAAAATGTTCAAAAATGCAGGAACATTTTGTAAATTTAGCCCATTTCCTCCCACTCCCTGAAATAAAGATAGCTAAACTGGAGGGAAGAAAAAAATTCGCTTTTGACTCTTGGCTGRTTTGGGAGTAGTTGTAAGTTGATTCTTGTCCTTTATCAATCCAGTGTAAATGCAGAACTTCAGGCAGGAATGAAGTAGCAAATACCCATGAGTTCCAGATCTCAAATTTTCAGAGAAGGACTAGCTAGTGTTTCTTCCAGCCTTCTTGCATTTCTTTTTCTTTTGAGTTGAGGTCTGGCTATGTTCTCTGGGCTGTTCTCTTAACTCCTTGGCTCAGTGATCGACCTGTCTCAGCATCCCAAGTAGCTGGAACAATAGGTATTAGCTCCAACAAACCCAGCCCCAGCCCCATTTCATTACCCTGGAAGGGCAACTTAGGGTGTTTGTTGTTGTTGTTTGGGGGGTCTTTTTCTGTTTTTTTTTTTTTTAACTCATTTATTTTTCTTGTTTCTTTGAAACCACCGTCTTATTAAAATGTATGCACTGAATTGTYATTAAGGGAGGATAACATATGAACATATGGGGCTGGGGATGTGGCTCAAGCGGTAGCGCGCTCGCCTGGCATGCGTGCGGCCCGGGTTCGATCCTCAGCACCACATACCAACAAAGATGTTGTGTCTGCCGAGAACTAAAAAAAAAAAAATTAAATAAATATTAAAAATTAAAAAAAAAAAAAACATATGAACATATGTACAGTAAAATACACTAACCCTAAGTGGACAGCTTGGTAAATTTTTACATGTGCTTATTCCCTTAACAGAGTTTTTAATCTTTTTAGCTCTCAGGTTTGACAACCAATGTTGTGGATATTATTTTGGCTCATCACTTTGGGCAGGTAAGTGCCTATGCAGTCAGAACTGGGTTCATTGGCTTGCATGTGAAGCCTAATTATGTGTCAGGAAAGAAGAGATACCTTAAAAGTTATCCTTGCAGATAACACAGGGTAGTCTGAGATGCATATAGCCCTACAAAGGCTAGTCTTATGGGGAGGCATTAATTCAGTACCAATATGCTTCTTAGCATTTGGAGAGATGAGAGAAAACAGTGTCTCCCGCCACCTGTCCCCTATAAGTAGCATGCCATCTGTTAATGTTTGACAACATCTGTGCTTTACCAAACATCTTTAGAGCCAGCAGGGAGGGTCTGGGAAAGGCTTCATAGAAACACAAGTTTCCAAAAAGAAAGAAATCATGAACTATTATTGCTACAAGAACCTAAGAACCTTAGAAATTATTTTGTTTAGTCCCATGAAATGATGAAGAATCTGAAGTCTACAGAGGAAGTAGCATCATGTGCATAATTGTTGGGTTGGGGAGAGAGGTCACTGGCTAGTGGGAGACCCCAGACCTCTTTTCAAAAGGAAAAGTGAGGTGTGACCCATGAAGGGGTGATGAACTAAATGAGCAAGAACAAAATAGAGCTGTGAGGTGCCTGGAGTGGAGAGAGAACAATAAAACCAGGGGTGATGTGCTCTAAATTGCAGTCTGTATAGCTAATTCTAAATGCAATTGAAGGAAAAAAGTGGTAGATGGGGAGAAAATAAGCATTTTCTTATTTTACCTACAGCTCTTCCTGGGTTCCTATAATGGGTACAGTTGCTGTCCCATTCCTTCACTAATTATTTATATTGTTAAGCACTTAGATAAATGTTTTGTTTTGTTTTCTTTTATTTTATTTTGCAGTACCAGGTTCAAACTCAGAGTTTCTCGCATGGCTAAGCAAGCCAAGCTACATCACCATCACTTTTTTGGTACTAGGGATTGAACCCAGGGGTTGCCATATCCCCAGTCTTTTTTATTTTTTATTTTGAGACAGGTCTCATGAAGTTGCTGAGGTTGGTCCTGAACTTGCCATCCTCCTGCCTCAGCCTCCGAGTCTCTGGAATTATAGGTGTGCACCATCATGCCTGGCTCCCAGCCATTTTTATTAATTTTGAAACAGGGTCTCACTGAGTTGCCTGGATGAACCTTGAACTTGCATCTTATTGCCTCAGCCTGTTGAGTAGCTGGGATTACTGGCATGCATCACTGTACCCAGCTTTCTTTTTATGAGAAACAACAAAACATAAACACACAAATAAGGAAATTAGGGTTCGGAATGATTAGGTGACCTAGTTTCCCAGCTAGCACTTGAATCCATAATAAGTTCTTTGGTGCCCCCTTCTGACAGAGAATATGACACCACACTACACTGAGGCAAATTAAAAGATTTTAGCCATTCTTCCTAGCAGTGTATTAATAGTTCCCAGGCCTCACCCCAGTTCTCATTATGGACAGTGAGAGCTGGCTTTTGGTATTGAAAATGCAAACCAAATAAATGGGCTTGTTCYGTAGCTCAGAAAGTTACTTGTGTCTTCTTTCACTTTTCTAGGAAGAATTGCAGGCCAACCTGGACTTGATTCAAACATACAGACTACATATTGCCCAAGATATCAACCAAGAAAACCTACAGCTCTTCCTGGGTTCCTATAATGGGTACAGTTGTTGTCCCATTCCTTCACTTAATCATAGAACAGGTCTAAAGGGATAATGGACTTTTAAGAGAGGGGGAAGGAAAAATAAATGACTTCTCCCATAATTTTGTGATGGGGTCGACTCCATGCTGTTTCAGTAGAAAAGGAAGTGCTTTCAGGCAGATGTGAAAAAAGCTTTGAGGAACATTGAGTAAACTGGAAGACATTTGGGACATGTTCAAATACCACTTGTAGTTTCAAGATGTTTTGAGGTATATGGAACCTAAGTTAGTACACAGACAGAAGCACACAAATGTTGTGAAGTAGCACAGGAAAATACATGTAGGGAAAAAAAAGGAAAGAAGACTTGGACCTTTTAGTTGGTCTTGGCTGATGTCTTGTCGTCAATTAGGAGTAACATGTAGATGCTACTCAGTTCTCTTGTTTGTGTATTTCAAAATCCACTGTCCCATCTCCCCCGGTCACAGGCAGGGTGAAGGGAAAGCACTAGTTCTTATCTTGGGAACAGCTTCTCCAAAGTGAGTGTTAACTCCTAGCTTTCTGGAAACCTGGAAAATGTTTTTCCCAGAGTTACACAACCAGTAGGGAGCAAAGCCAGGTCTTAAACCTGGTCTCTAAAACATCCCTGTTTTTAGTTGAAATCAGAAAGATAAAGGCCTGTGCTAAAGTGTTACAAGAAGAATCCCCCACACCCACAAAAGTGWAAGTCATTCCCTTCTCTTAAGAAATTTATTCCTGGGCTTGGGATGTGGCTCAAGCGGTAGCGCGCTCGCCTGGCATGCGTGCCACCCGGTTCGATCCTCAGCACCACATACAAACAAAGATGCTGTGTCCGCCGAAAACTGAAAAATAAATATTAAAAATTAAAAAAAAAAAAAGAAAAAGAAATTTATTCCTATAAACTAGTTGGAAAATTAAACACTTAGGACTTGGTCACTGTTTAGCATCCCACCAAGTTCCTCATGCTGCCACTCAGGATACCACTGCTGCTCAGGTGTGAAGGAAAGAGTTTTCACAGTCCTTGATAATGCTTTGATTTTCATGACTACAAAATAACCTGAGTTGTCATGATTTTTACCTCAAAAATGCACTGATCCTGTTTTGTTTTTCTAGACGCAGAGACCTAGAGATTGAAAGACCCATACTGGGCCAAAATGATAACAAATTAAAAACATTAAAGTAAGTCCCTCAGTTTCCCCATTGAATTGCTTAGCATCTTTGCCTATTATGTTTAATTCAGTGTTCAGTGCAGGGTATGTGATTATTTGCTCTCTCCTTCTATACCTAGGTGTTCTACTTTATTGGTGGTAGGAGACAATTCACCTGCTGTTGAGGCTGTGGTAAGTGTGTCTTGATGTTGTGAGGAAGATGATATTCAAATGTAATAAAATGTTTATTGCATACCAGAAAAATTGATAAAGATTAGCTTATGTTATTTTCTGGTTGCACATGCCAGGGTTTGCTCTTTGTTAGACATTTTGGAAAAGTAATTCCTCATCACTCACTAGGTTTCCTCAGATGGGATCATTGTGGCCCTCAATTGCTTTGTGTGGTGCATTTCACTTTGTGGCAAATAGTACAATGAAACACCATTTATTTGTTGTCAGATTTCTGGCAATCTCAGCTTTGCATCTGCAATAGATTACCACCATAAATCCAACAGGCTGGAAGGCTGCCAAGAGCCTGTGTACTTTTTTTCTACCTTCTTGTTGAGCACATAGTATACTGATAATAGTGATATATACTTATTATAGAAAATATTTAAAATTTTTAAAATAGAATGGGGAAAACAAATGATTATCTTTGTCTTTAACATAGACCCGAACTATATTCAATATATGAGATTTAGAACCTAACTACTTGACAACTTTTTTTTTTTCTTTTTTGAGGTACTGCAGATTAAATCCAGGGCCTTGTGCATACTAGGCAAGTGCTCTACCACTGAGCTACCCCACAGCCCTTTTTATTTTATTTTGAGACAGGGTTTTGGTAAGTTGCCCAGACTAGCCTCAAACTTGGATTCCTCCTGACTCAGCCTCCTGTGTAGCTGGCACTAGAGGAGGACACCACCATGCCTGGCTGCTTAACACTGTTGGTAACATTTTTCCATATTATAAAGTCAGTATGTTTGTATAACATTCTGTCTTGTTAAAGTACATTATTTATTTAACTTTATTCTATTGATTATTTCTGACTTTACATCACAGTTAATGTTGCAGTTGAAATGTTGCTTATAAAATCTTTGACTCTTTGGTTATTTCCTTGGGATAGATTTTCAGAAGTGGAATTAATGTGTCAAAAATTATAAACATTTGGGCTGAGGTTGTGGCTCAGCAGTAGAGTGCTAGCCTAGCACGTGTTGAGGCCCTGGGTTTGATCCTCAGCACCAAATAAGAAATAAAGTAAAATAAAATAAAGATATTGTGTCCATCTACAACTAAAAAATAAATATTAAAAAAATTATAAACATTTATAAGTTTTTAAATATATTTTGTCAGATTCCATTCCAAAAAATAATTGCTCCCATTTATTGCCACTAGCCTGTTTCACTACACTGCCCACCACTGATTTTTTTTTCATGTGTGTGTGTGTGTGTGTGTGTGTGTGTGTGTGTATGTGTGTATATATATATATATATATATATTGTTGATTTGATCAGTTAAAAATGGCATCTCTTGGCTGGGGTTGTGGCTCAGTGGTAGAGCACTCGCCTAGCACGTGCGAGGCCCTGGGTTCCATCCTCAGCACCACATGAAAATAAATAAACAAAATAAAGGTATTGTGTACAACACTAAAAAATAGATATTTTTAAAAAATGGCATCTCACTGTTTAATTTKCGTTTATTTACAAGTAAAGTTGACAGTTTTTTATAACCATTATCTTTTTTCCTTGTTTAACTTAACTAAGTACCTATGTGAAATTAGTTGATTTTCTTTGGCATTCTTCACTTCTTCTGTATCTAGGACAAAGTGTTAAAGAGTAAGGCTCTTTGGAAATGGAGTCTAATAACTAATTAGAAGCACAGGAGCCAGGCATGGTGGTGCATGTTTGTAATCGAGGCTCGGGAGGCTGAGGCAGGAAGATCGGAAGTTCACAGCCAGCCTTAGCAACTTAGCGAGGCTCTAAGCAACTCAGTGAGACCCTGTCTCAAAATAAAAAGTAAAATGGGCTGGGGATGTGGCTCAGTGGTTAAGTGCCCCTGTGTTCAATACCCAGTACCACCCCTCCCACCCCCCACAGGAAAAAAGTATAGACATGGAGAGAAGGTTTGGGGGTAGGGTAGTGTTTGTAGGGTAGATAGATATGAAAATACAATATGTTTTCTTCTCTCAACTTCTCTGTAAAACTTTCTGTGTCTGGTATAAAATAGCTTGTGCATAGAGGCAATAACCCTCAACTCCCAACCTTTCCCCTAAAAAGTTCGCCAGACATATGATAATGATTCCAGTTCATCAAAAAGTGGTTCTGTAAAGGTCAGGGTTTTCTGTCTATAAAGCTGATGGTGATGCATGCCATGAAAGTCTATGAACTTAAAAGAGCAAAATAGGATTTTTTAAAGAAAATGCCCAGAATCAGTATTGAGGGAGTATTTCCATGAATCTTAGATCTGAAGTTATTTGTCTTTTGAAAATTCTGTGGAGCCAGATGCATTAGTGCATACCTGTAATTCCTACTACTCAGAAGGCCAAAGCAGAAGAATTGAGAGTTCAAAGTCAGGCTGGGTAACATAGCAAGACCTGTCTCCAAAAAAAAAAAAAAAAAAAAAAATGGACTTAACTACAATATTTTCAATTATTTTTCAAGATTATAAAGTAGCCACATAAATAAGATCTCTTCTTTCTGATTTTTCACTTCCCAGTGTCTATAGAGAAGAACTTCAGGAGTCACAGCTGTAGCACAGCTTAGATAACTCTTCTATTCACTCAAACCTGTCTCCCCTGCCAGAGCATTTTAGCCCACAGGTAGTGGGATTTCCAACGAAGAAGAGCAATGAGAAACTCTGCAAAACCTAGGCAGGATTTGCCAGCTCATTTATTCATTCAGTATCATTTTTGAACACCTCCTATTTGCTCAATGATATGGAGAAAATAAGTTGGAATCTCTGTATTTGGGGAGTTGGAAGAGTAAACATGTCAGCAACCAACAATTAGAGGCTGAGTTGTAGCCCAGTAGTACCACACTTGCCTGAGTGAGGCCATGGGTTTGGTCCCTAGCATGCACACAAAAAGATGATCAGTGACCTACCAGATACTAAGACAGTCTTATAATATTATAGAAATTACAAACTAGTGAGCCAAGGAAAACATGGTTTATTAGACTAAAATCAGACTTGTTAATTTTTCCAGAAAATATTTATAGCATATCCACTATATTCTTAGCACTGTGCCTGACTGTTAGGAATTCAGTTTCTAAATATTAACTTCTAGGTTAATACATATTCATAGTAAACTTGTGCAAACTCTGACTCAGTGGTCCTGGCATTTAGATCATTCCCTGATTTTAGAAGAGTTTTGTATACCTTCCCATCAGCAGTCCCCAGATCAAAAGTTCAGCTGAATCCAGTTACTGGTTCTTGCCTAGGTGATYTTAATTCCCTAACTGGCTAACTGCCTCTGCAGTCTGTTATATAGACAGCTACTACTGTCTTGAAACAACTCACATCCTGTCACCTTCGAAACCTGTGGCTTCTTGCTTTCTTCAGAGCTCCAGCCTGCTCCCAGCCTTGCTTCAGTGGACATCCTCCCTTCACACTTGCCTCTGTGACCCACTTGGGCTCTGTACATTCACGCTTTCTGGAACTGTGGAAGCCTTCAGACACCAACTTCTGCTATTTACTTATCTGTAGAAATTCTTATTGTCTTTCACTGTCCACTCAACTAAGTTATAAAAATTTTTAAAGTGATTTCCTTTTGCTTTGTACTATATTTTTTCACCCCCTGAATTCTAAACTCTTAGCACAGATTTTATGTGTGTATTCTTTGCAGACATGTAAAGGAGAGATTCAGTTGATCAAATTAGCCATAAAACACTTCTGAGGGCTGGTATGTAGCTCAGTGGTAGAGCTCTTGCCTAGCGTGTGCTGGACCCTGGGTTGGATCCCCAAAACCCCCACATGCCACACCCCCAGAAAAACACTGCTGAACCTGTGGGGCTGGAGATGTGTAGCTAAATGAGGGAGCATGAGCTTAGCACGCACAAAGCCACTGGGTTCAATCCTAAACCGCCCCTCCCCCACCAAAAAAAAGAATCACTGAACCCAGAGATACTCTCCTCCCCAAAGCATTTTTTTTTTTTTAGGTTCTTGGCTTCATGGGTATAAGAGTACAAGGTGCCAAACATGTAAATATACCAGGCTTTAATACTACATTGTAATGAATGCTATAAGAGAAAGATCACAGAGAAGTTGAGCTTTGGACTAGAGAACCATAGTCAGATTATAAGGAATGGCAGACCCACTATACCAGGGCCCCACAGAGGAGTGAAAAGCAGAGCCAGGGGAGGTGCACAGGGCTCAGTCATTATGGCCAGTTTTGCTGGGAAGGCATCAAAGAGATCCCAGGAGGAGAGAGCCAGTTCACAAATAAGTAAGATACCCTACCCTCAGGCTGTGTAGCCAATAAAAAAAAATATTTAGATTCAGTATATAGTTGTTTCTACTTGTATCAGATTCAGAAAATGAAATTAGCCAGAGTTTTAGATCTGTTCAGATATAAAATTTATCACATAAAATACAGCATATGGGCCAAGGATGTTATTTCAGTGGTAGAACACTTGCCTAGTACATACAAGGTCCTGGGTTCAATAACCAGCACTGCAAAATCTAAAATATTAAATTTATCATATTATATCTTCCAGTCGCCAAACTGAGTGATTGGTCTTGCAAGATCATTCTCATGCCAAGCTATTTCTTTTTAAAGCCATTCATAAAATTGTTTTCTCCCCCCTGCCTTTTTTTTTAGGTTGAATGCAATTCTCGTCTCAACCCTATAAATACAACTTTGCTAAAGGTAATATATCTTCTTCCTTCACTGCCAACCACTTGTGAGTAGATTATACATGCTTCAAATTTTAGTATGTTTGCTAGAACCATTGCCCAAAAAGAGGTAAAACTTCTTTTTCTATTAGTTTCTAATGCTCTCTTCTTTCTTTTTTTTTTCCCTCAATATATATTCTAATTGTGGGGCTGGGGGTGTAGTGTAGCTCAGTAGTAAATTGTGTGCTTAGCATATATGAGGCCCTGGGTTCAATCACAAGTATCCCCCTCCCTTCCAAAAAAATATATATGTATACACTTACATATATACACATATACACATTCTCATTGCAGAAAATTGAAAAATAGCTGGGCACAATGGTGCATACTGTAATTCCAGCAACTCCGGAATCTGAGGTAGGAGGATTGCAAATTCAAGATCAGCCCAGACAACTTAATGAGACTCTGTCTCAAAATACAAAGGACTGGATATATATAGCTCAGTGGTAGAGTACCCCTGAGTTCAATCCCAAGTACTAATTTTTTAAAAGATTTTTCATAAGTCTGCTGCCCACAGGGAACTGCCTCTGGTAAAATATTGGTATCTCTTTACTATATGTTTTTTATCATTAAGATCAGAGTATATTTAGCAGGCACAATGGTGCATGCCTATAATCCCAGCTACTCTGAACCTGAGGCTRGAGGATCACAAGTTGAGGCCAACCTTAGGAACTTAGTGAGAACCTGTCTCAAAATAAACAAGAAAACCCTGTAATCCCAGCAATTCAGGAGGCTAAGGCAGGAGGATTGCAAGTTAAAAGCCAGCCTCAGCAAAAAGCAAGGTGCTAAACAACTCAGTGAGACCCTATCACTAAATAAAATACAAAATAGGGCTGGGGATGCGGTTCAGTGGTCAGGTGCCCCTGAGTTCAAAAGGACCTCAAAAATAAATATAAATAAATAAATAAACAAGAAAGAAAAGGAAGCTGAGTTTATAACTTGGTGTCAGAGTGCTTCTGGTTCCATTCCCATACTGATGGCGGGGATGCAGGGGGAGCCAGGCATAACGCACACACCTATAATCCCAGCAACTCCAGGCTGAAGCAGGAGGATCACAAGTTCAAGGCCAGCCTGGGCAACTTAGTGAGGCCCTGTGTCAAAAGAAAGGACTGGTGGTGTGGCTCAGTGATAGAGGACTTCTGGATATAGTCCCTTATACCATGTACACACACACACACACCAAAAAAAAAAAAAATTTAAATAAGAGGATATTTGTTGTCCTATATATGTTTTCTTCACATTTATGACATAAACGTTTTCCCATGCCTTAAAAATTTCATAAGCATTATTGTGTTATGAGAATTAAGGTAATAGATGGAAATATTCTACACATGCTAAATCTTGAATAGGTAAGGAAGCTCCCAATTACAATTTTTATAGTAGTGAGAGTGAATGCATTTTCTTTCTCTTAGAGCAAGTAGAAAGTGACTCTTACTAAATTTCTAAGGACAATATCAAGTTTCTCCACATTTCAAATGTATCTCAATTAAGAGTTCCAGCCTAGCATTATCTCAACCAGTTTTCCCCAAGCCTCTGTTAATAGGTAGCTAACCTCCTACCTGGACTACTGGAGAGTTAAATGCTGATCTTCTTTGCTTACTGCTGTTTTCAGTCTGAAAGATCTTTACCTTCTTCCGTTTGTCTTTGAAATGTGCTTAAAAGGGAAGCATTGTCACCAGACGTAGCCCATAGTTTCTAGAAACAGACCATGAGGTTAATGCTCTAAAGTGACCAAACTCAGACTGTTCTTGGTTCCAGATCTTGATGGGCTTGTCTAAAATATGAATGAAAAGTTTGTGGTTTCAAATTAGAATCAATATTTAACAGCACCAAATGAACTCTGAAATAGCCAAAGATAAGATTATTTCTGGGCAAATATGCCCATCTGCTACAGCATGGGGCAGAGTGGATAGCTCCTATGGCTGACTGAACTCTGATTCTCAAGCAGTTTGATATGGGTATCACTCTTAGAAATAGTTACATCCAGTATCTTCTCCTTGCATATAAGAACTGTTTTATGGTTCTGTTCAGTTTTCAGCTTTTAAACTTCATGAAAATTGGGGCTGGGGATGTGGCTCAAGCTGTAGCACGCTCGCCTGGCATGTGTGCGGCCCGGGTTCGATCCTCAGCACCACATACAAACAAAGATGTTGTGTCCGCTGAAAAACTGAAAAATAAATATTAAAAAAAAATCTCTCTCTCTCTTTAAAAAAAAAAAACTTCATGAAAATTTAGTTTATGCCAGTTTGGTGGTCTATTTTATATTTATTTGTCAAATTGAATGTTTGTTTCTCATCTTATGCCTGGAATTTTGAGGAGACTTGTTTCTTGTTAAGAAAGTTTTAATGTGTCATTTAAACCCCGGGGTTCATGTCCCTTTTAAAAAACAAAAAGGTTGGCTGGGGACATAGATCAGTTGGTAGAGTGCTTGCCTCGCATGTACAAGGCCCTGAGTTCAATCCCCAACATCACCAAAAAAAAAAAAAAAAGGCCAGTCAGCCTGTGTCCTACAGTGTCTGAAAGTGTACAACACCTGGAAGAGAAAGCCTAAGCTCCTATGTAGCCATTATGCCCTGTGAACAGATTTGTGGAATCTGCATCTCCAAGAGCTTATTAGAAATGCTGGTTCTTGAACCTTACCCAGACCTATTCAGTCAGAATCTCTAGGACAGAAATCCAAGAATCTGAGGGCTTTTGTTTTTGTTKTAAGTGGTGCTGGGATTTGAACCCAGGACCTTGCACATGCAAGGAAGTATTCTACTACTAAGCTATACCCTAACCCCAAGAATCAGAGTTTATTTGCTTTTTTAATATTTATTTTTTAGTTGTAGTTGGACACAATACCTTTATTTATTTATTTTTACATGGTGCCGAGGATCGAACCCAGGGCCCCACACGTGCTAGGCAAGCGCTCTACTGCTGAGCCACAACCCCAGCCCAAGAGTCAACAAGTAGTTCTGATGTATACTTGCCAGTCTGTAAGAATAACTGGTGTTAAGGCTTATAAAGTAAAAAGCAACCACACCATATCCTGCTAGAGAGAACAGTGGCACCAAATGAATTGGTGGGATTCAGCTTCTGCTTTTGATCAGGAACTCCCCTGAAATATAGAGTTGAACGGGGACTTCAAAATCACAAAACACTGAGAAGTCAAGGTCACCCTGTTTGAGTACTCCGTAAGTAACATTCTTCAGGGAGAGGGAGAACAGGGTTGAAAGTTTAGTAGCTTATTCTGTCACCCTGCCATGGGCCAGAAAGCCAGATCCAGCTTCTTGGGATAATTAAGGACTGAGTAAATTCTTTCCAATTTCTATCTAGCATTTCCATCTTTATAAAGAGTACATTGAAGGTTGGGGCTGGGGCTCAGCAGTAGAGCTCTTGCCTGGCATGTGTGAGGCCCTGGGTTTTTGATCCTTAGCACCACATATAAATAAGTTAATTAAATTAAAGACATTGACAACTAAAAAATGTTTTTTAAAATGTGCCTTGAGGAGATGTAAACCTATAAACAGTTGAAGAATCAAATTCAATATTGTCCTGTTTGAACGGACTGGGATGTTTAGAGCATTTCCCTCAAATGTAAGTCCCAGCTGACTTACATATTTTTCCTCTTCTAGATGGCAGACTGTGGGGGACTGCCCCAAGTAGTTCAGGTAAGAAATTTTGTTTTTTAAGAAAAAAAAAGCACCCATTCTGTTCTACCTCTCTGCCTGTGAAAAAAATAATGTGTTTTTGTTTTATCCCCTAGCCCGGGAAGCTCACCGAGGCCTTCAAGTACTTTTTGCAGGGAATGGGCTACAGTGAGTAATACACAACTTTCTGTCTAGTGAAGATTTATGTAAGATGGGTCAGTTTGACATCTGGGAGGCCATAATTCTTAGGGTACATCCTCTGGGCTAGCCAGCATTGACTAAAGTAGAAACTGAAACGTTTGTGGAACAATCATTTGTGCATATATATACATATATGCACATATATAATAATGCACTTATTAAGCACATTTGTCAGGCAGTATATACGCTTAACCTAAGAGGTAAGTTCTGTTATTGGTCCCATTTTATAGAAGAGGAAACTGAGGATCAAAGAAGCTAAGCACATTTCCAGCATAACAGTGCAGCTGCAGAGCCATGGTTCAGACCTTGGCAGTCTTACTGCAGAGCCCACACTTTTAACCATCAAAGCTTAGCCTGTCCCAGCCATTAATCAGAAGTTACAATTTGCATTTGTACTCAGCTGGTTAATAACTGGCCTAGAGAAACAGAAGTGAGACTCCAGAAGAAAAGGGTCGTGTCCTCAATGAAATCTGTTCCACCACAAGAGATGAACTTGCAGAGTATCTTAGAGCAAGTGAAGGATGTGTCCATATCATATGCTGCTGTCCTGGTCTCATGTATTGTGAGACCCCTGAGCCTTTTTGCAAAAAAATCCACACTTGCTCCTTTCTTGGAGTCATAAGAATAAAACCCTTTCACCCAGATATAGAGCTCTTTACCCAATCAGGTGATTTTTTTTTTTCCCCATCTTTGGTATCTGTGAAAATGGCCATTCATGAGCTGCCTGGGCAGCTGCTCTGATCAACTAGACCTGGGTAGAGCCCTGTACCCACCAGGCAGACCATGTGTGTCTTGTCTAGAGTTGCTGTGTCTTCCCATCTGTGAGTCGCTACCAACCGAGCCCACATCCATGGCCCTCTAGCTCACTGGGAGGGCCTAACTTAGTAACCTGTTCTTATCCATTCCTAAGAAACAGCTGATCTTATAGCTCATTTCTGATCCAAAGTTGGGTGACTATGTAGAATGGAGGGGAGAATAGTTTGTCTAATTGAGAGAAATGATATCCAAGATGATACTAAAGTGACACTCAACCTCTCCTCTTCTCTGGGACCATAAAATAAACTGATCCCTTGCTCAGAGTATTCTGTCTACTAGGCAGCCAGGGTTGCTACTTCGCACTCTAGATCACTAACCTTCCTCTTCCTGTGTCCATCCTGCTTCCAGTCCCGTATGTGCAGCTCAGTCACCTCAGCACCGAGTCAGGTACCTTCCTCTGTGCTGGCCCTACCCGCTCTCCGCCATGCTCTCCTGGCTGCATTGGCTGCCTGCAGCATGTCCGCAATTTTTCTGTGCAGTGAGAGCCTGATAGAACGTGGCTCATTGTGCTCCAAGAGTTTAGCCTACTAATCCTGCCCTGGTGCTCCAGGAGGAAGAAAGGATCCAGTTACAATGCCTAGGCCTCCTCTCATCTTTCTAAATCCAGGGTCAAAGCAGCAACTGAAACTTGATAGGCAGAGCCCCTCTTCCACCACCTACTACTAATCTTTGAGGTAACCTCCAGACATGGGAATTGAAGGGGTAGCCTTGACTGTAGGTAGAAATGTTAATACCTATGCCAAGAGAACTCCACAGGTAATGGCATCTTTTGACTCCAGTATTGAAATGACAGCCAGGTGGAGGCTGGTGCCTGAGGTTGAGAGGCAGGGAAGGTCCTGTCCCAGCCAAAATAGAAGAACATTCAGGTCAGGGATAGGGCTGGGGCTGGGGCTCAGCGGTAGAGTGCTCGCCTTGCACGTTCGAGATCCTGGGTTCAATCCTTAGCACTACATAAAAATAAATAAAATAAAGGTATTGTGTCCAACTACAACTAAAAAACATATGTATATATAAAAAAAGAATATTCAGGTCAAAGCAAGGCAGATCAGGAGTCTGAATTAAACATCCCCAGAGCTCTTTCCTCTGAGGCAATCTATATAGAGATCAGTTCCTGTCCCACCTATCCTGGCCTCCACCATGCCTTCCACACACTCTAGACAGCCAGGGTAGCCTGTGGACACGGATGGTAGTCTTCGTTGTATCGGGCTTGCACTGTGTTTGTGAAACACCTTCATGTATGTGTGGTCTGTCTTTCTTTTCTTTTGATTTAGTCTTGCATGTACTGCAGGGTTTGGCTTTCCCAAAGCCTCCCTCCTAATCACTGAACTGTGTGGGCACAGCTAAGAATCTCTACTCTGGTCTTAGGGCTTCCCTTCTGCTGACTAGAAGAGCTATTCCAGCCAAACCCAGAGAATTAAAGCAGCCTTGCATTCAGTCACTAATCTAGAGCAAATACTAGAGAGTGGGGATGGCTATATCTTGTCCTGGGTGTCATTGTAAGTAGGTTGGGAAAGCTAAACATAAAGCCTTTGGTGAAACATGTAAATTAGCTGAGCTTAACTGGGGCTCCATCTTCTAGTCCTCTTGGTTCTTTGTTACAGTACCATCTGCCAGCATGACCCGGCTCGCCCGATCCCGAACCCACTCAACCTCGAGTAGCATTGGCTCTGGAGAAAGTCCCTTCAGCCGGTCTGTCACCAGCAATCAGTCAGATGGAACTCAAGAATCCTGTGAGTCCCCTGATGCCCTGGACAGACACCAGACCATGGAGGTGTCCTGCTAAGCAGTTGCTCCTCCCYGGACCATGCAAGTCTACCCTTCTTCAGACGACACTCCATAATATAACATTTCATCCCGTAAACTGGCCTCCTCTATCTTTAACTCATGCATGGCCACTGAACCTCTCCTAGTAATCTGGATTTATCATTCTCTGCCCACCTACCCTTTTTTTGTATCTTCCAAGAACCACATTCATGCCATTACTGTAACATTCCAGCATCTTTAGCTGATCTGATCTCCACATCTTCTCTTGCCAGCTTTTTCCTATGTTCCCCTAACGATGTATCTGATAAGATTCTTCTATCCCAACTCCATGTGTGTGCGAGCACGTGTGTCTGTGTTTGTGTGTGCATAGTTCTGTGATTTTAGACATGCTTCCTTGTGGCGCTTCTGCAAAAAAAGAAAAAGGGAATTTTTTTTTTGCATTCCCAATGGTGTTTTTGAGGAAAACGTGCAGAACAGATATTTAAGTGGGGAAGGCCACTAGATTCTCATCTGGTTCCAAATTGGTCAACAAGATTTGCAGAGTGATTTCTGAAGAGAGCAGCTCTGAGGAATGTGGAAAAGCATAATTACTGTTTGTACCAGTGATTGATTGTGACCAATGGTAGAAGTGTTGCCTGTCACATAGAGAGGTAGGCAAAGGGGCCAGCCACCTTCCTTTGTCCAAGTGGATTCACATATGCATCCTATAAAGAAAAGGGCGGGATATATCCTACTAGGAGCCCATGAACAATGAAGTTCTAATACAACAGGGAGTTTACTCCAAAGCAGTGGCTTAATTACTAGATCTTAGCACAGAAAGGTGGAAAACAAAATGCCAGGCCTCCGCTCTGCTGTTGCTGAGCATCTGTTACCATTTATCAGACATCTACACATCTACAAGAAGTGCCTCCCAAGTCTGTGGTGGAGAGTGGTTCTCCATTCCTCAGTCCCAAAAAAGGGAGAGGTATGGCCGAAAAATATGGTGAGGACATGAAAGGGCAAGAGCAATGGCCATTAACACAATTTCATGTTGAGTAACTGTAGCTATGATTTCAGCAGACTCATGGAAGCCAAACTAAATGGATATAGAACCCACTTCTGAGAAAGATTCTTAGAGGGGGGAGGGGCCAGTCTGTAAGGGCAGTCACATCCAGGTAAAATTGTAGCCTCCATCTGCTGTCAGCAAGGGGGTCACTGCTGGGAGGAGGGTGAGATAACTGTGGAAATCCATGCCATAAACAGGAGCCCAGCTCTCAGAAGCAGGAGATGCAAGCTCAGGGTTACACAGTTCCGAATCTTGAGAAGAGACTTTTCAGACACATTGTTTGCTTTCTGCCAAGATAAGGAATGCATCACTCTGCCAGAGTACAACTTTTTACAAATTATTAAATAAAGCTGTATATGTCTCATTGTTACCTGATTGCTGGTGTTATTTTTCTCAAGCCACTCACTGGGGCTCAGGGAGTGGCTGAATACTGTGTGCTGGTTCTATGCTCTACATTTTCACATTTGTGATCACTTATCCCACCCAGTCACACTGTCCATTTATAGGGAAGAAATGAAGCTTCAGGATAATTTGTCCAAGGTCATACAGCTAGTAAGCGCAGCCTAGACTAAATCCAAGTCCACTTGACAATGCTGTTGTTGATGGAGGAGAAGCTGAGGTCTGGGAAAGGCATTCCACATCTTGGCTCTGCCATGTGTGTGGAATTGCTGGATCCCACCCATCAGGTAATAATCTGCAACCACTTTTCTGGGGTTCTTTAAGAGAATAGGCTGTGTCCCTCCATAAATGGCTGAATTTGCACCCATCAAGAATAATTTCAGGCCAGGTTCAGTGGTGCATGCCTACATGTAGTCACGCTCCTCAGAAGACTGAGGAAGGAAGATCACGAGTTCAAGACCAGTCTGGGCAACTTAGCAAGACCCTGTCTCTGAATAAATGAATTGAATGAATGATGGGAAAGGGGGATCTGGGGGGTGTAGTGCTGTGGTAAAGTGCATTCTTAGCATGTGTGAGGCCCTGTGTTTGAACCCAGCACCAAACAAAGGAAAGAAAGGCTCACATAACTTCATCAAGTTCTCATGGCAGCTCTGCAAAGTGGGAGCATCTATTTTACAGACAAGGAACAATTCATAAAAGTTGAGTGAGGGGCTGGGGATGTGGCTCAAGTGGTGGCGCGCTCGCCTGGCATGCGTGCGGCCCGGGTTCGATCCTCAGCACCACATTACCAACAAGGATGTTGTGTCCGCCGAGAACTAAAGAATAAATGTTGAAAATTCTCTCTCTCTCTCTCTCCTCTCTCACTCTCTCTTTAAAAAAAAAAAAAAAGTTGAGTGATTTGACCAAAGTCACCTAGCTTGAAAAAGTAGTTTCTAGTTCTTCCAGAGTCAATGCATTTTTATGTTTTCTTCAGCCTTTCATTGAGCACTTTTAATAGGCAAGGCCCTTAGCACCTTCCAATAAGTTGCCTTCTGTTGACCCAATGAAATGGATACAGAAACAGGCCCAGAGTTAGTTTACAAATGGTCATGAAACTAATAATTTGGCTATATGGAAAAGTTCCCTTCACTCCATTCARCACTTCTGTGACAAATTTGTGGGGTTTTTCCCTATACCAACTAATTCTCTTAACAGTTTGGACACCAACTAGGTATCTTACAATTCAATTAGAACACTATCTAGAGTTAGTGCAGACCCTATAGTCCCACAAGCACCCCCCACTTCACATGCCAGTTGGAAGTAGTAAATCCCATGTTACACTTCTGTACAACTAGGGTACAAATCTGATTCACACAGCTGTCTCCTCAGGCTTGGCCATTTGGGTTTTTTTTGGGGGTTTTTTTTTTGTTGTTTATTTGTTTTGTTTTTTTAAAGAGAGAGTGAGAGGAGAGAGAGAGAATTTTTAATTTTTTTTTTTTTTTTAGTTCTCGGCGGACACAACATCTTTGTTGGTATGTGGTGCTGAGGATCGAACCCAGGCCACACGCATGCCAGGCGAGCGCGCTACCGCTTGAGCCACATCCCCAGCCCTTGGCCATTTGTTTTGATGGCTCACAGAACTCAGGAAAGGTGTTTACTAGTTTATTAAAAAGGATAAGCCAGGCATGGTGGCACACACCTGTAATCCTATCTGGTGGGGGGATGGGGGCTCATGAGTTCAAAGCCAGCCTCAGAAACTTACTGAGACCTTGTCTAAAACAATAAAGAGGGCTAGGGATGTGGTTCAGTGGTTAAACACCACTGGATTCAGTCCCCATTACCAAAAACAATGGATGCTCCTCTCCTGTGACTCTTTTCAGCTCTGTTACCAAGTCCCTGCAGAGATACATATCAAACCAGCCTTCCCGGGGAGCAAGGGATCAGCAGAAGTGAACTCTTACTAGCAAGGAACCAGATAAGGTGGCAGAGTCTGAACTAGATTAAGAGCATTTCAGTACAATGCAAGTTTTTGTGTTAAAGAGCAGCTGWCTCCAGGAGTATCAGGCCCCTTGAGGGGGAGGCAGCAGGTGGCTGCATTAAATTTTAATGAGCTGTGGGCAGTGTAGTTCTGTCAGATCCTTTATCCTACACCACAGATCCTCAAGCTAAGACATGCATCAGAATCACCTAAAGTACTTTTGAAAACATTGRGGGGAGGGTGGTGTTGTGGCTCAGTGGAAGAGGCTTGTCTTGCATATGTGAGGCACTGGGTTCAATCCTCAGTACCACATAAAAATAAAGGTATTGTGTCCATCTACAAATGAAAAAAAAATTTTTTTTTTWAAAAAGCAACATTCCTGGGCCCTGACCTCAGCATTTCTGATTCAGTAGATCTGATGGGAACTGAGGATTTGTATGTCTAACAAATTCCCAGGTGATGCTGAGGCTGCTGATCTGGTACTGAGAAATACTGTTGATATTTCCACCCAATACTGGGGATTGAACCCAGGGGAATTTTCCCGCTGGAGAATAAACCCAGGACCTTAAATATGTTAAGTACTTTGGTGGTAGAACTACCACTGAKGTATAGCCTCAGCTCCCAGATCTTGCTCTTTAAAGTGTAATTCCCAGACCAGCACAATGGATATCATCTTGGAAGCTTGCTAGAAATGCAATATCAAGTGAGCACAGAGGCTCCCTAAGGAGCATGGATCCCTGTCCTATCCTATGATCCCAGGTACTGGTGTAGAGGCTGGTGTAGGAGAATTGCAAGTTCAGAGTCAACCCAGACCAATTAGTGAGACCCTGTCTCAAAAAACTAAAAAGGATCAAAGAGCAGGGGGTGTAGCTCAGTGGTAGAGCACCCCTGGGTTCAATCCTCAGTACTGCCAAATAAAAAAATATTTTTTTTTCTTGTACCGGGGATTGAACTTGGGCACTCCACCACTGAGCCACATCTCCAGCCCTTTTGTTATATTTTACTTAGAGACAGAGTCTCACTGAGTTGCTTAGTGCCTCAATATTGCTGAGGCTGGCTTTGAACTCATGATCCTCCTGCCTCAGCCTCCCGAGCCGCTGGGATCACAGGTGTGCGCCACCGTGCCCATCTAAATTACTTATGAAGAGAAAAGAGATGCAGAAAGAGAGTTGGAGAACAAAAGAAGATAAAGGGGGAGAGAAGGAAAAAAGGAAGGAGGGAGAAAGAAATGCAAAATCTTGCTGCACACAGTGTCGTACACCTGCAATCCTGGCTACTCAGAAAGCTGAAGCATCAGGAGATAAATTTCAAGCCTAGCTTGGGCAACTTGGTGAGGCCCTGCCTCAAAAAATAAAAAGGGCTTGGGATGTAACTTAGTGGTAGAATATTCCTGAGTTCTATACTCAGTACCACAAAAAGAAAGAAAAATGCCAAAATATGAGCCCCACTTCAGACCAACTGAGGCAGAATCTATAGTTTAGGGCTGGGGATGCAGCTCAGCAGTAGAGCACTTGCCTAGCATGCATGAAGAAGTGTGGGAAGGCAATGCTTCCCAAACTTACCAAAGGATTCTCTTGGAATATTTAAAGTTTAATTCCTAGGCTTCYCCTCTGACAACCTAAATTCAGAAGGCATGAAAGGATCCCAGAAACAGTAGTACTAAAATTAAGTTGCTTCAGTGATTACTATGGTCAGGCCAGCATGGGAAACCCCTGCTCATTTCTCTCAGACCCGGACCAAGCCACAAAGCCGGAGAAGAACCTCCTGCTCTGGGATCATACAGAGGCAGCCACTGCTACCCTAGAAACAGGAACTTGGGCAAGGTGGCTCCTCGATGGTCTCTGATGCCGTCAGAGGAAGCGAGTGGTTGTGAGAACCACAATCTGCAGACAGGAGCCAGAGCTCAGAGGAGGCATGCCTGTGTCTGTGACAGTCACAGATCCCTAGGCCACCTGCCTTGTCCTGCTGTGCTGGTGAGGATTGCCCAATCTGGGGTCCCTAAGGAGCCTGGGTCCCTGTCCTATCCTGGAGTACAAACTGCTGATCACAAGATAGATGCTGAACTAACCCACTCTGACATCAAGAGTCCTTCTGAAGTTCCTCCGAGTTTGAGTTCTGGGTGGCCTAGGACCAAGGACATTGGCAGATTTCCAGAARGGATCCCCAAAGCCCTAAGCTGACCAGCCAAAGCATGGTTTTAGCTGATGCCCTGCCCAAGTCCCTGATGACAAGAAACCAGTAAGTATACTTGCTTCTGTTTCCTGGTGGGCTCAGCATAGATGAGGAAGAGTGATGCCCTCCAGGGCTGGGAGTGGGCTTTATTTACAGTTAGGAAGCAAATGTTCCAGGAGGAGGGGAGGTGGTTCTACTGGGACTGTARGAGGTGGTTTCTGGGACCCTGAAGGAACTAAGATCCCCTCTCCCACTTTGACCACCTCCTGGAGATTTATTTTATTCTCCAGCTTGTTTTTGTACATTGCCTGTTCTAGACCCCTCTTGGTTAGTTACTTGTTGTGTGACTTTTGGCCCCTTTCTGGGCCACAGTCTTTCAAATTCAGTTGAGTAAGAGGGCTGTGGATTATCCTCTCTGAAAACACCCCCAGCTGCCAGATCTTTCAAAGAGTGAGATTCTCAGTTGAAAAAGCAGGAAAGGGTTTRGGAGTGTACCTCAGTGGGGCCCTGGATGCTGTTCTCAACTCCAAAAAGAAAAAGAGCAAGAGGCCCCCCTTTAGCTTAATCCAAATTCCTCATTCTTACCCCCACTGCTGAAAAATGATCTTCACAGGCACCGAAGAGTGGATAGTAAGTCCAGCTCTGCACTAACCAGCTGCCCAAGCACGAGGTCATCCTCTGGGGCCCTGGTCCTTGCATCTGAAATGAGACTCAAGTGGGATGATCAGAACAAAGCCGGGCAGTGTGCTGATTTCAGCTGCCTTTTACTCTTTCCTGCCACCCACTCACACAGGTCCCCTAGAAAGTGCCTAGCACACAGTAAGTTGCTGAAGTATGTGTGGTTAATGATTCGATTTCCTCTTATAAATATTGCAGCCCACACCTCCTTCTCCTGGGCCTGCCCTGCTGCCACCTGGTCTTCATATTGCCTCAGGGACTTCCTGGCCTGGACCAGATCAGGTGGAGAAAGCTGCAGAGCCCAGCATGCATGCAGCTCCCTTATTGCCCTGGCACCCATCTCCCAGCCCCACCTGCAAAGAAGTCCTCTCTGAGTTGATTGCAGTTGATGATTGTGGTCTTGCTGAAGGAGGGGAAAGGAAACTAAGCCTTACTGACACCTGCTCCATGCCAAGCTCCTCCCCTTCTCCTCACAACCCTGTGGAGTCAATATTACGATTCCTGCTTTGTCTAAGGACACACAGCTCAGACCAGGCAAGTCTAAATAAGTCTGAATAAGTCACCCATGCTACCCAGGTCAGATGGAAAGTGAAACATTTGTCCTGCACCTCATACCCAAGGGGTAAGGATGGGCTGGGGCAGCAGGGAYGCTGAGGAACCAAACTGAAATGGTGCCTTAGCACTTAGGGACCCAGTGCTCTCACTGGGCAGCAGCACCATCTCACTCCAACGCTGCTGGAACCAAAAAGACTGAGTAGAAAATGTGCCAAGTGATGGCCCATCTTGCTCCTGTCTCTGAACACTGAGCTCCGCATGGAGAAGCAGCAGCAGACAGGTATTATGATTCCCATTGATGACATGGGACTGGAGAACAGAGGGCAGGGACCTGGCACAAGTATTCCATCCTCCAAGGCAGGATCTTTACTCCTCAGAGAGGACTGGCCCAGGAGGCCACAGACGTGATGGACATGGTCTTCATCCAGGCAATGTGAGGTTCAAAAGCAAGGAAGGTGACCACCATGTCACCACACCATTTTGTGAGTTCCCCTCTCTAACTCCCCACCCTTGCTAAAGAGCAAAAACTCTGAACACCAGCTAAAGGGAAACAGACTGGCATAATCATGCCTTGTCTCTACTGAAAAGCATAAAACCATCCAAGAAAAAATACAGAACTCAGCCCAGACCCAACATTTTGACACAATGTTTGGAAAGATCAGCATCACTCTAGAACCTGGGAATGTGAATTATTCTAAGGACAAGACACCTGTCCAAAGAAATAATCATTCTGTTCATTTAGTTAACAGGTATCCAGTGCCTTCTGTGGGGGTCTCACTGGATGCTGGGGAAAGGAGCATGGAATTGTAGGATAATGGCAGATCAAGCACTTGAGTGTAAGGCTGGGCATGTGGCTCAGTGGTGGAAAGCTTGCCTGGCATGTGTGAGGCCGTAGTTTGATCCCCAACACCACAAAAAATAAAATAACTTTGTAAGGAACACAACAGGAAGTTAGAGGCTTCTGAGAAGTGACATTCAGGACAAGAGAAAGGAAATGTAGGGCCTGGGTAGGTTTTTCAGAGAATTATCTCTAGGAGCCATATGCTGGGTGTTGTAATCCCCATTTTTCAGATGCGGAAAAGGAGGCACCAAGAGAGGAAGTAGTCTGACAGCCCGTTGCCCATAGCCTTGCAAGTCACTGTCATACAGCCTCCCTGGCATCTTACTCTGCCCTGTAACACCAACAACAACATGTCCAATGTCAGCTCTGATTGTTTTGACACTAATCCCCAAACCCTCTGACTCCACTTGCCACCCTGACCCTAGCTGTGGCTCCTGGTGTGCCTGGMGTGAGCTCACTGTCAGGCCCCTTTCCCTTCCCATACAGTAGTAGAACACGAGCCCACGTCAGAGAAGTGGTTCCAAGTGGGCCACGGGAATTCAAGGGAGAATCAGCAAAGGCTGAGGATTCAGGGAGAGCTGGCTAGGAAAGGGCAGGATACAGATAGATCTGAAAGGGGAGGAGAGGGCAGGCCAGTCATGGAAGGCCCAGGAGCAAAGAACTGAGCATGGCTGTAGCCTAGAGGAGAGGGAATACAGAGAAAGCAGCTTCGCAATTTGCAGGCAGCCTTGGGTCTACAGGAGGAGGCTGGAGTCTGGTCCTGGGGAAAGGCCATTCCCCCAAGCTCTCCAGGAGATCAGCAGGAGAGAGATGGGTATCTGAGACCAGAGCAGGAGCCATATGCTCTGTCCCCATGGCAGCTTCTCTTTCAGGTCTCCCTGGGTGGTGTACTTCTAACAGTTCTGCTGAGGAAGGATGGGCAGCCTGCCCAGCCGAAGGAAAACCCTGCCAAGCCCAAGTTCCAGCCCTCCTGTCCCAGGCCAAGGACCTGAGCCCATGCAAGCAGGTAGGCTGTGGGGCCTGGGCAGGCAGCACGAGGCTACACAGTCCCACACTCCACTACCTCTGTGCCTTCATGACAGGCAACACCTGCACATCACTAGGTATAGACCCAGCACCTACTGTTCTTCTTAGTGAGCCATGAAGGTGGGGGCCCTGCTCCTATGGAGATTACTTTGAGGTAGAAACATTGAAYGGCCAGATAAAGGAGAAAACACSAGGGGCTGGGGCATAGCTCAGTGACAGAGCTCATGCCTAGCATGCACAAGGCCCTGGGTTAGATCCTCAGCACTGGAAAAAAAGTAACTCAGTTCCTCAGTCACAGGAGCCACATTTCAAGGATTTGGTAGCCACATGGAGCTAATGGACCTTATTGGAAAGCACAGAATATAAGACATTTCCAACACTGCAGAAAATTCTCCTGGACCTCAGAAGAACTGTGAAATACTTGATGCAAAGTCAGGGCTCCCTTACTGGTGGGAAAAATAAAATAGCACCTGCAGTATGTATCCTGAGCCTATGACCATGATTCTCTAAGACAATTCTGACTAAAAATACCAGCTTTTAAAACAGTTGGGCAATTTAAATATCCTAGAAATTTTAGTGTTTTTACATCAAAACCATGGCCTCTGGTTTATCTCTTGTTCTTTGAAATATCCCATAAATCCATTTTCAAATCACATCCTGATTTGGAGTTTGGATAAAGTATTAGGGGCAGGGGCTGTAGCTCAGTGGTAGAGCGCCTGCCTAGCATGAGGCCCTGGGTTTGATCCCCAGTACCGTGAAAAAATAATAATAATAATTAAGGAAAGAGAACCAATAGGGTGGTGGGGGAGAGAGATCCATTGTTAGGAATCAGCTCACGTGAGTATGGGATTGTCAAGTCTGAAGTCTGCCAAGCAGGCTGCAGACCCGAGGGGAATCGGTGCTATGGTCCTGAGTCCAATGGCAATCCACAGGCAGAACTAATCCATGTCCTCAAGGGACCTTGGGTGTCTCTCATAAGGCCCTTGATTGATTGAATGAGGCCCACCCATGATAATCCGCTTTACTCAGTCTACCAATTTAATTTTTTTTAAGAGTATCTTCACAGCAACATCTAAACTGGTGTTTGGCCAAATATTATCTGGGTACTGTGGCCAAGCCACAATGACCCATAGAATTAACCTCACAGATAACAAGATCACTCCAAGCCAAGCCATGCTTCTAGAAGGACGTGGGCAATTAAGCTGGACTAGAGACTGCAAAGCTAAGATGTCTGGGTATCAAGGTTTGGGTAGGAGCTGTCCCCAACCCCAAAATTCCCCTATGGTGCAGGGCTTCCTTCCCTCTCCTCTGCCTGAATCCCTTGTTTCCCTAATGGTTGCCTCTCCCAGGCCCACAGGCCTTGGCACCCTAGGTCCCAGAGGTTTCCTATTGGGTCAGGAAAACAGTTGCCTCCTTGTAGCTACCATCTGCACTGAGAGGCCCTGCAGAAAGAGACCTGCAAACCACAAACCTCCACCTTGGCTTCCTCCAAGCCTAGCCACAGGCAGCGTCCTGAGGCTGCTCTGAGACATGCCCAGGGCTACTGAGGGTGGTGACCACTCCTGTTGTACAGGGCCCTCCTTGCCTGTGGGGCCCTAGGTGAGCCAAGCTCTCCCTGGCATAGTATCTCCAGGGAAGGAGGGAGGAAGGAAAGGAACACCTCTCAGTAGATCTGCCCCTGTCCCAGCCAGAGTGTGAGTTTGGGGTCACTCCCTCCAGGAGCTATCTGTCCATCAACTTTGCCTCCCTCTTAAACCTACTGAAGCTCAACTGCAAACCAGTTCTGTGCCAAAACCTGAAGTCACAGCAATGAACAGGCAGGCATAGTCTCTGTCTTTAGGGACAGTTGAGCCCCAGAAACAAACCGTGAACCAATAATGACAATTGTGTTCAATTTGGCAAATGCATGCTCAGAGAGACTCTGAGATTGTGCGCAGAGGGCCAAGTCAGGGCTGGCTTTCTGAGGAGGTGAAGGGTGAAATCAAGTCAGCCAGTCTGAGTGGGGCAATTGTGAGAGGGTCAGGCCTTCTAGAAACAGGAGGGGCCCTTCCAGGCCTCTTTGTTCCACTCTTGCGGAGTGACCTCCGTAAGACTTGTGTTGTTTACTCAAGCAGCAGGCATTTCCCTGCTGGCTAGGCTTGTGCTACAAAGAGCACTCAGAGATGGAGAGACCTGGTTCCTGAGGAATGCCCCCCCCCAAGGGATCTATCTCAGGGGGTGTCTTCGAGGACATGTGGGAAAATGTTCATTCTGAAACCAGTCTCACTCTTCCCTTGGCCACCCATGGCAGAGACCCTTCAGCCACCTCCCAACCTCTGGGTCCTTGTCTGTCCATCTGTGTCTGCCTCTCCCTGTCTAGACCAACTCCATCTCAAAGGCATCTCAGAATCCTCAGACCTTAACTCCTCCAGGAACATCTAGGAGACCAATGAATCCTTTTTGCTGACCTTGTGCTTTTAATAGCTTAATGCATTTTTTTTTGAATTTTTAATATTTATTTTTTAATTCTCGGCGGACACAACATCTTTGTTGGTATGTGGTGCTGAGGATCGAAACCGGGCCGCACGCATGCCAGGCGAGCGCGCTACCGCTTGAGCCACATCCCCAGCCCAGCTTAATGCATTTAGGTGCTAACAAGTCTTTCAGGGACCATCCCTAGAAAGGATCAGCAGGGTAGGATGCAAATGAAGAAGTTTCCAGAAACCACTGAAGGCAAGTTTTTCAGACCTAGAAGTCCCTGCATACATAGTGGGGTCTTGTTAGACTGGGTAGGCTGATCCCTGAAGTGGGTGGGGGATGTTAGTCGTGTGCTAAGAGAGCAACTTGCTGCTTGAGGCTCAGCCTCAAAGTTGGGCCTCCTGGCTACCACATCCTCAGAACCATTCCCAGGCCAGTAACACCCCTGTGTAGATCTCAGCCTCCTAAGGCGATGGAGCCCCTCTTGAGAGATACATTGCTACCCAAGCCCTTTTCCTCCTGCCAGGGTGGCGTGGTGTACAGTCTGTGTTCTCACTTCTCCTCTGAGTGCCTGTCAGGGCCCCAGACCTCCCTGCACAGTGGGGTTGAGTAGAGAGGACCATCCAGGCGGGCTGACTGAAAGCCCTCACTGGGCTGGACATACAGGTGCTCAGAGAATGACAGTGGGGAAGAGGCCTAGAACTTTGGCAGCCCCCAACTCCAGCGTGGCACCTGCTCTGGGGAGGCCTGGAATAGGGGTCTGGAGCGGCCTCTCAGGGGGCAGCACAGACCTCCTCCTACTGCCCTGAGCAGCACAGCACCCTAGAGTTACAGAGCCTATTCATATCTGTCAGCTCACAGGCCCCTCCACAAGCCCGAACAAGTCAACAGGACCAGGAATGAGGGGAGCAGTGGGGTCCCACAGTGGAAGGGAAGGTGGCTTTCACTTTCCAGTCCTTTTCTCCTGTCTCCCAAGAGTAAGTGCTCAGGGCTGGTGCTCGGCCATGCCTGCCTCAGGGCTCCAGGGACCCAGACTCAGCTGCTAGCCTGGCCTGAGTTTCCTTCCCCAGTTTTCAGAGGTCGTGCGCACTCATAGTACCCGTYGCATCAGCAGAAACTAAGACCACACTCATACTTGCTTAGGGTTTCTAGGARTTTTGTTTTTGTTTTTTGTTTTGTTTGTGCTGGGGATCAAATCCAGGGCTCTATATGCCAGACAAGCRCCCTAACACTGAGCTGCATCCGCAGTCTAGGGTCGTAGGTTTTGAGTTTCTGAGCAGCAGAATTACTTCATCAAAATCTCCGTGAAGAGCGTGGCACGGTGAATATATAAGGGATTTTAATATACAAGGGATTGAACCAAATAGCACTTAACCACTGAGCCATATCCCTTACCCATAATCCCAGTGACTCTGGAGACTGAGGCAGGAGGATCACATTCAAAGCCAGGCTCAGCAACTTAGTGAGGCCCTAAGCAACGTAGTGAGATCCTGTCTCAAAATAAAAAAGGGTAGGGGAGGGCTGGGGTTGTGGCTCAGTGGTAGAGCGTTCGCCTCACACGTGCAAGACCCTGGGTTCGATCCTCAGCACCATATAAAAAAAATAAATAAGTGAAATAAAGGTATTGTGCCCAACTACAACTAAAAAATAAATATTAAAAAAAAGGGTAAGGGATGTGGCTCAGTGGTTAAGTGCTCTTTGGTTCAATCCCTTGTATATTAAAAAAATCTCTGTGAAGAGTTGTATATAAAAAGGAGTCATAGGGGCTGGGGTTGTGGCTCAGCATGTGTGAAGGCCTTGCCTAGGACGTGTGAGGCCCTGGGTTTGATTTTCAGCACCACATATAAATACATAAAATAAAGGTCTATCAACAACTACAAAAAAAATTTAAAAAGGAGTCATAACCAGGAGCCCCATTCCTCTTTGAACTCAGAAACTCAAATCCTTCTTCTTGCTACATGAGTTTGAAGCCCCCATGAGGACCCCAAGAACTACCTGGGCACACCCAAGCTCAACAGAGCCCCCTGGAAGAACTTCAGACTCCAGGTGGCCTTCCTGCAGGGTGCCTGTGAGAGGGTGAAAGAGGGAGCCAGACCCAGACCAGATGTCACTAGACCTCATGTCTGGAAGGAAGGCTGACCAGGAGAGTGACTGTCTATCTCTCCATCCAGAGAAGAGCAAGGCCACAGCTGTGGCTCTGGGCAGTTTCCCGGCAGGCGGCCAGACTGAGCCGTCTCTGAGACTAGGAGAGCCATTGACCATCCTGTCTGAGTAAGTCTGTGGGCTCTGGGCACCTGGAGATGCACTAAAAGGGGAGAGGTGCTTCAGAAAAAGCCTGAGGCCTTTTCTGAAAACCTCGCAGRTGATCATAGCCTTGTCTGGGGTTTTAAGCAGCTTGACTACCTGCAGGGAGAGACAGAGGGGCTGGGGCCTTGGAACAGGGAGTTTTGGCTCATGCCATCTGCTAGCCACCCTGTCCAGGAGGGGTCGGGACTGGCTGGTGGAAACAGGTGGCTGCAGGAGTCAGCCTGAGAGGATCCGTGTGAACCCCAAGTAAGCAGTCCCAGGGTCTTGACCCTTCTGAAAGAGGTGCCCTCTCTGCTTTCTCTTTCAGGGATGGAGACTGGTGGACAGTGCTGTCAGAAGTCTCAGGGAGAGAGTACAGTGTCCCCAGCATGCACGTGGCCAAGGTCTCCCACAGGTGAACACACTCTCACCCCTGCCTGCCTTCAGGGATCTCCTTCCCACAAGCCTGCTCCCCCATGGCCACCCCCAGCCGGACACTGAGTGAAGCTGGGGAGTGAGAAGCAGGCTCAGGCTCTGCTCAGCAGGAGCAGAGAGCAGCAGATCTGGGGAGGTGGCTGGGGAAAGCCCCCCAGAGGAGGTGTCCTGGTCAGGGGCTCTGGAGAGCATCCAGGATCTAATGGTGGAGAGTGTGAGAGGCATATGTGAGAGGTGGGCACAGTCTGTAAATGTCTTGAGGCAAGAAAATGGGGACAGTTCTTAGGAAGATGAGGACTTGGAAAGGTAAGAGGAGAGATACGGGGTGCTGGGGGACCCGCCACGGTGGGAGAGAGGCTGGGATCACCCTAGAGGGAATGAGGCCTGCAGCAAAAAACACCAACTGACCCCTTGGTTGTTCTCCTGCGCCCCTATAGCTAGGACAAACTGGAGGGGATCTGAGTCCCTGAGGCCTGCTCTTCATGGTGCAGAGAGAACTGTGAGACCCAGAGTGCAAGGGAGAGAGGGGGCTGCATCAAGGTCACACAGAGCAGTGGAGGGTTCCAGTAAGATCTTCATGGCCCATCCCCAGTCTCCTTGCCCTTCCTCCTCCAGGTGGCTGTATGAGGGCCTGAGCCGGGAGAAGGCGGAGGAACTGCTGTTGTTGCCTGGGAACCCTGGAGGGGCCTTCCTCATCCGGGAGAGTCAGAGCAGGAGAGGTGGGTGAAAGGCCCCAGCCCTCCTGTGTAGAAAAAAGGAAAGAGTCACTCAGGAATGAGGGTAGACCAGGGCCTGCCCTTATTTGAACTCTCCCTGGACCCCCATCCAATATATCTTTGCCTCTTTTCTCCTTCCCTAGGGAGCTCCCTAGGTTGACCTCTTCCAGCCCCTCCTGCTAATTTCTTGGCCACAACAGCAACCCCACCCCCGCCCCCATAAGCTGGCTGGGGCAGGAGGATGGCCCCTGTGCAGCCGCTGGGAACAGGAAACCACAGCAGTGGTGCTGATGGGGACCGGCCCTGCAGACCAACAGGGTGAGCCAGCTGGAGAAGCCACAGGAAGTGCTCCGTGCTCAGTTACCCTACCCCTTCTCTGGCCTGGTTCAGCCCCAGAATCAGGTGACTGGCCCTTGTGGTCACTCTGCCCTTTCCAAAGAAGACACATATACAAGAGAAAAATGGTCAACTGTAAAGGAGAAAGCCCACAGGAATCCATAAAGATCTTTAAGGATCCACATAATTGCTGGGATTAAGGTCCCCATAGKCAACTGCAAAAGGGGGTGCCTCGGTGGGCAGCTCTCATCAAAAAGGGAAACATGTAGGGGCTGGGGATATGGCTCAGTTGGTAGAGTGCTTGCCTCAAATGCACGAGGCCCTGGGTTCAATCCCCAGAACCACCACCTRTAGATATCTAGATAGATACATAATAATGATAAAATAATAACAGCTGGGTCCCCTCACCCAGAGGGGACCTTGGCTGCAGGGTGGAATYACCAGGGGAAGATTTAGAAACTCTGGATGCCTGCAAGCCATCTGTTTAATTTCTGATTTAAATTACTCAGGAATTCATCCTGGGCTTTGGAAAATGAAAGTGTGGCCCCACCCCCAGGGGACTCTGAGGTACAGCCAGCATCAGTGAGAGAGAGCAGGGCAGGATTTAGAAACTGGCAGTGCAGGCCAGGCTGGGCAAACCCGCTGCAAACACCGCTGCAGGCAACTTTTGTTTGAGGTATTTATTTATAAGTAAATGTGTCCTGGGTCACAGTGTAAAATGTTATTCAGTGGTTTGTGGTAAAAAAAAAAAAAAAAAAAAAAAAAAAATTTTTGAAAGCAAAGTTCTAGGGGCCCAGGCAACATCATGAGATGGTGGTTCTCAGATCCCAGCGTATAGGAGACATCAGGGAACTGGTCAGCAACATCAGCTCTTGGGCCTTGCCACCCACCTACTGATTCAGGCTGCTGGGGACAGAGGCCAGAAATATGTTTCCTTTTAAAGCTCTCTGGATGGTTCTGCTGTTCTCTTAAGTATGAAAAAATAGTTCTAATCTAGGGAATTCAGAAGGAAATAAGGACACAACATCAGGCTGGGGGCGTGGCTCTGTGAAAGCTCCTGCTAGGCTTAGACAATGTCTTTTACTCTCACYTTATGCATCTTGTGTTTATATAATGAGAATTAACTGTTGACTGAGTCAGTGACAGCAGAATTAGCTTTCCTGGGGCCAAAGTCCAAAGACTGGAAGGGTACTCTGAAGGGGCTGTAGTCTATGTAGACCAAGGTGGAGGGTCTGGGACCCTGAGCTCCCAGGAGCAGCAATCAGGCCTGAGGACAGGGAGAGGTCCTGCATCTCCCCAGAGTCCTCGGACTCACCTGGTCTTGCCCTAGGCCTGTGGAGAGCCTTATTCTAGGCTCAAGTAGGGCCCAAGACCTCGGTTATTAAGCGATTTTGTGGAGGTCTCAGGACTGCGCCAGAGGTCAGTGCCGGGGTTAGGGACAGGTCCCAACAGCACCCCTCACTTCACCTTCCTGCTGTCCTTATGCCTGTTCTGTGTTGGGCACTTTAAGGGAGACTGATGGTTTCTGCCCCCTGGGGGGATCATCAGTCTCCTTTATAGACATAGAACAGGCAGGGACAGCAGGAAGGTGAGGTGGGAAGCACTTCCTGAGCCTCTCCTCTGCGTTAGGCTTGCTAAGTCAGGACTTAGGTCCTCAGGCAGCAGACAGGGAGGTCTGAAGGTCAGTATCCTTGAGACCATTAGCTTCTTGGACATCTCAGCAGGGAAAGTTCAGGCAGGTGATAGACCTACTTGTCACACGCTGCTCCTGATCTGATCCTTCACACCTCCTCCCAGCGTCACTGGAACAGCTGATCCCAGAGGTCCTGGATGTGACTTTGCCTAAGCCTCCAAAGCTTTCCGGAATCTGGGACCTTACACGTTCCCTTTTTTCCTGTGGGTCCCTTTCTAGGCCCCTCATGGCTTCCACGGTGCCCTCTGCCCACCGGGTGCGCTGTGAGTACTGGTTCTTTCCACTGCTTCCTCCTGACACAGTGTCCTYTCCCAGCCTGAAAAGCCTCGTCCTCCATTGCTTCCCTTGCAAACACACACTTGTCCTTCATAACACATTCCAAGTCACCTCCAGATGCTGTTTGTCACACTTTGCTCTCCCGTAGCATCCTACAAAGACCTCTTCTGTATCTATAGTAAATTTATTTCTTAAAAATCTGAGTATATTATCTGATGAGAAAGACACAGGAACTAAATATCCAAAGCAAGGACTACTACTAGTGGAGTGAGTTGGCACACACCTGCAATCCCAGTGACTCAGGGTACTCAGGAAGGAGGATCACAAGTTTGAGACCAGCCTTCGCAACTTAGTGAGACCCTGTCTCAAAATAAAATTAAAAGGGCTGGGCATACAGCTCAGAGGTAGAGTGCCCCTAGGTTTAATCCCCAGTACTGAAAATAAATAAATAAATACAAGAAAGAAATGAGGACCATTAAAGAAAACCCTGGATGTGGGATAAGCTGGCAAGACAGCTCTTATTTCCCCAGAGGATGATGATTTCATACCTGTGTCTGGGCCTGGTGCAGTGTCCAGCATATAGTAAGTGCTCAAAAGATGTTTACTGAATAAATGAGTCAGTAGGTGAGCATATCTATATATGCAGACAGGATGGAGAGCTGGGGTAGACTGCACCCCAACTGGGAAGGTCCAGGTCGTTTAGAGCATCAGACTGCCAAGGACAAAACCACAGTTTCCCCCCAGCACACCCAGCACATGGGCCTGTGAGTTCCCAGTACGCTGTCTCAGTAGGGTCTGGTCCCAAGAGGCCTTCTGTACCCAGGGCTAGCAGATCCAGGAAATGCACCATGTGTTTTTGCTCCAAACAATGAAATGATAATAAGCCTTCAAGGACCAGTCCCATCTGTGAAAGAGGGTGCACACCTACAATCTCAGCAACTCGAGAGACTGAGGCAGGATGATCTAGGCCAACCTGGGCAATTTAGTAAGACCCTGTCTTACTAAATTGGGGGGATTACCAGGGATTGAACTCGGGCACTCAAACACTGAGCCACATTCCTGGCCCTATTCTGTATTTTATTTAGAGACAGGGTCCCACAGTGAGGCTTAGGTCCTCACTAAGTTTCTGATGCTGGCTTTGAACTCACGATTCCCCTGCCCCAGCCTCCCGAGCCACTGGGATTACAGGTGTAAATGCCTGGATCAAAATTTTTAAAAGGCTATAAATATAGTTCAGTAATAGAGCATTTGCCTAACATGGGCAAAGCTCTGAGTTCTATTCCCAGTATTGCAATATAAATAAATAAATTAATTAATTAAAAAAAATAATTCCCAATACTATCTGTGCTTATAAATAGCAATAGGAGTGTAAATGGAGACAAGGGGTCCTTAAAACTACTTGTAGCCATGGCTCTGTCTGTGTGATTAATGGAGAAACATTCATTCAACAAGCAGATATTGCACATTGACTCTCTGCCAGGTGCTATTCCAAAGGGCAGGGATTCAGCAGTATAAAAAGCAAGATCCCATCAGACACGGTGGTGCACACCTAAAATCCCAGCAGCTCCAGAGGCTGAGGCAGGAGGATCCTGAGTTCAAAGCCAGCCTCAGCAACAGAGAGGTGCTAAGCAACTCAGTGAGACCCAGTCTCTAAATAAAATACAAATTAGGGCTGGGGATGTGGCTCAGTGAGTAAGTGCCCCTGGGTTTACTTCCCMGTACCAAAAAAAGATCTGAGAGGATGATGTGCCTTGGAGACACAGTAGTGAGCATGGGCAGCACAGGTCATATATTTTATAGTTATATATTTTCCCCCAGTGCTAGGTTTCAAACACATGGCCTCATGCATGCTGGGTAAGCACTGTGCCATTGGGCTACACCCCCAGCCCCATCAGGGGTATTACAATACGTGAATTTGAGTCCAGGGGGTCTGGGTATTAAAGCAGATGTCCTGGGGCTGGAAGAGAGAAGCAGGTATTTGGCACTGGCTGGGAGCATGCTGCAGGAAGGACAGTGGGATACCAGGCAGGTGGGGTGGCAGGGCCAGTCACAAATAGCCTTGGTAGGTAAGCTATTCCCACAGAGGGTTGGGCAGAGCTGGCCTTTTATCCTGAGCCCACCAGCCAGATCTGCAGTGTACCTATCACCCTTTCTGCTCACGCCACCAGCACTGGGGACTGAGCCCCACATCCCAGCCCTTTTAATTTTTTAATTTGTTGTTGTTGAAACAGTGTGTCACTAATTTGCCCAGACTGGCCTCCAATGTGATCCTCCTGCCTCAGTATCTGAGTAACTGGGATTGTAGGCAAGCGTCACCTCTCCTGGCCCCATTCTGGTTCTATTAACTGTGGTGACTCTGATCAGAGTCATGGCTGAAGAACATGCCAAGGGTGTGAGGTCTTGGTGACTAATTCGGGTGGGTTAGTTAGCCTTCGGGGCCCATGTTCAGGTACTTCGCCCTTTCTCAATTGCACAGCTTTTCCAGGGTCACAGCATAGCTCCAGAAGAGACTCTTCTTTTTTAAAAAATATTTATTTTTTAGTTGTAGTTCTACACAATACCTTTATTTTTATGTGGAGCTGAGGATCGAACCCAGGGCCTTGCCACAACCCCAGCCCAGAAGAGACTCTTCTTAAAGGTACAGAGYTCCAGGCACTCCCAGAGTCAAAGAGAATTCACTAAGAAAAGGAGACCCCTT